GTACCTCAGCAGTATGGATCAAATCCCTATTGTCAAATGAGCGATGACAGAAAATGACACAGGGAGAAGGCAGAGTGCTGGAAGCAGCTTGTGGCAATCTGACTGAAACCCATTTTAATTAAACAAGTATCTGTACCTCATTCATCTGATTCACACATTAGCAGCATGCTGACTGAAGATATTTGGAGCCACCATCTGATCTGTACACCCAAAATGTTCCTCAACAACTGCTGTAGTCAAAGAACTGGCAGATCTGCCTTAAACTTCGTGTTAAGGCTATAACAAAATGCACTTAAATAAACCTTATATTGTACAAGCACAATGAATCGGTCACCATATGTTGTAGAAGTGAAGTTTTTTGTTGCCTTATTTAGGAAATGACATAAGGGGATCCTCTCAGCGGAGGTTGAGTAGTTAATACTTTGCAGTTCTCCGGAACCAGCCTTGGTTCAAGTCACTGTGATACACACGAGCATGTTCAAACTCCAAACCATGACTGTTTTTCTCTCTCTCCCCCGTCTACAACCTGCATATTTTAATTCCTTTTCTGAGAGGTATTGTGTGCCCAAGATTTGATGTTTACCAACCATCTCCACTCTTCAGCACCAAAATCTGGATTGACATCCCATTGCAGTACTGAGGGAGCGCTGCACTGTCAGAAGTGCAGTCTCTAGTGGATATAACACATTCCAATGGTGCTACTGTGAAAATTGGTTATAATTATATTGCTACTCTCCACAGAAGCTTATTTTGCAGAAATGTGCAACCAGTGTTTTCTTTTATCGTAAAACAGCGTTTATACTTCTGAAGTACTTACATTACAACATAAATCAGGAGCAGGAATAGGCCATTTGGCCTGTTGAGCTTGCTTCCTCATTCAATAAGATCATGGCTTATTTGATTATAACCACATTTCCCAACTCAGAAGTAAAGCCTATCACATGAAAGAATGCAGAATCCTGCATCTTCTAAACATTTTCATACACTTCGGGTTAATCCACAGAAAAACAACATTGGAAAGGCCAAGTCCTGTACGGTCAAATTGGGCTGTCCAATGTACAGGAATGTTTTGTGCAAGATTAGGTTACACAAATTTTATAGGAGTGAGGAAAAGCATTACTCGCAACCAAAGTATTAAAGAAACAGTAATAACTCTTCCTTCCCTAGTTGACACTTGTTATTTATAATGTCCAGCCATTAAATCGTCAGGTGCAATAACTTTGAAATCTGATTAAAGTTCAAACAGCAAAACTGTCATGTGGGCAAAGTTTGACATGATCCTCTTCATGATGATGCAGCAAGACAAATAAATTTTCTTTTCTATCTAGCCCGGCTGAAGCAGAGAGGGTTCTATCAGACCTGTCCGTAAAAATGGGACATTTGCCAGGCAGGGATTTCCTGTCAGTCAGTCGATGGAACTGAAATTAACTTGTTTGGACATTTCATGACACATCTGTGGCCGAACCCCGAGGTTGGATTTGAAACTGAGCCTCCTGGCCCAGAGGTAATGGCACTACCACAGCAGAAGGGTCCCAAAATCAACACAAAGCTCTTTCAGTTTATCAGGTGACTTGGACAGTGAGTGACAACGTGAGGACTCAATTAGGATTTGAACCCTGGCCTCTACACACACCAGAAGTGAACTGTAGCCTCCAGACTAACAGGCCACTAGATGGAGTTCTTGGTCAGACTGGAGGCTTTGCATCACCGTGGCCTGAGCAACGCCACCTCAGGTTAATTTCAGGGAATGTTACATAGAACCTGCACTGGGTATAGGTGCACCACAGGGTGCCAACAGAAGCTTAATTCCTCGTGCACTTCATGAAACAGCTCAAAGCTGACAATGTATTTTTCCAAAATTGTACAAGGTATGTTTTGAAAGGAAATGCTGCCACATTAAGATTCAGACCTTTTTTGTGGAACTGAGCAAGGTGGGAATATTTAAATAGTGTTACGATTCAATGGAATTATTCTCAGGTATAAAATTGCACCTAAAAATATTGTGAAATCACAATAACAAATAAAATCACAAAAGCTATCCTATCCAGGGAGGGCTACACTGTTAAGTTGTCACCCAGTATTTTTCCATTACCCGTATAGACAGTGACAAGATCGAGTATGGCTGCACTTTGCAATTTGATCCCAAGATCAGGTACCAGCAATTAATTTCCTGCGCCAGAATTATTACACACTGATGGCAAAAGTTCAATCTCAATCTCACCACACCCACTACTGCTATATCAATGCCATGTTTATGCTCCATTTCTGATCTTTTGAATGCGGGATGAAAAATTACAATTCCTCCAGTGCATCATAAAACAGGTCTCAAAATGGACCTGGGCAATTAGGCAGACATTCATCTTCAGAGGGCCTGGGACAGGCAGCCTAAAAGGCCCCTACTTGAAACAGCTGGCAACAAGCAACTTGTAATATAACAACATACAGATAGGACCCCTGTTGTAAGCTCAAGGTACAAATGGGCAAGTATTCAGTTTCAAAAATTGAAAAAAGTTTCATAAATGAGAACATTAACTCTGCTAGAATTTATTGCCCACCTCTAATTTTCTGACATGGTAGCAGTTCACTTCATTGGCATGCTGCTCCCATGGTACCAATCTGACACTCAAGGCCAGAGTCAGGATTTTGACCCATGGTCAAATGAAGGAATGGCAACATATTGCTAAAACTGGGAAAATGCAGACAGTGCACGAGAGGGAGGGACACCTACAGGTGGGAGAAATTTTTGTGACATGATGCTCTTCTGTAGTTGGCAGAGGTCATGGATTTGGAAGTTGCTGTGGAGGAAGCCGAAAGACTGCAAAAATTGCCAGAGACGATGAGGGGCCTAATCAGTCGGTTTTAAAAGGGGTTGAGGGTTGCTGACAAAAATGGACCAAATAAAATTGTCAGGCTCAAGATGTGTATAGCATGCTAGACCCACACATACAAATCCAAACAATAGCACACTGCCAGTCAATGGAATCCACTTCATTCACCTCACTGTCAAAGCTAGGCTTTACCCATTATCTGGCCGAGACAACCAATTTTCTGCTTTTTTACCCCCTAAAAAAAAACAAAGCTGAGCATGGTACCTGTTCAGTGCCAAACAGCAAGCAATGGCCATTAGCATCGATAGCTTAACGACTCAGACCAGTCACCAAAGCCAACAGGTAGAGATAGTGTGTGCACTTCACCCCACCATTCCACACTAGGGCAAATTTGGTCTTGTTCACTGAGATTGGGACCATTTCTTCAGTGTGTTCTGTGTGCCAGTAATATGCTGTTAAAACTGGACAGAATATCAGAGCCCAAATATAGGCAGTCATGATGGCACACTGCATGTGAAAGCCAATGATAACGTTCAATCCTGGCTCCCATTAGTGAACTCAGTAGGAGAGAGAGTTAGTCAAACTCTTCTTGACCTGAAGTGACTCCAATTTACTTTAGGAAGCCATCCCGCTAGCTCAGATGGTTAACTGGCTCTTTTTGATTAATGCAACAAGAAACCCATGCTAGAGAGAGAGAAACATGAATATAGCCAAGTGAGGAGCAGGAGTAGACCTACCAGCTCAAGTCTGCTTCACCATTCACAGTTCACAGAACCTCTAATCTGCACTCCCACTTACCCAATGACCTTACCCCCTTACTTAGGGAGAATCTACCTGTCCCTTAAAAATATTCAAGAACTCTGCCTCCACAGTTTTGTTGGTAAGACAGTTCCATAGACTCATGATCCCCAGAGAAAAATAAATTCACTTCATCTCAAAAAAATGGATGACACATGACCTTAAAAGCGACCCCCAGCTCCTGATTCTCCCTTTTGAGGAAACATTGTCCAATATTCCCAGTCAAAACCCATCAGGATCTTGCAGGTTTTAATCAAACTCCCTCATTACTACAACAAAATTCATTGGCAGAAGGCTTTTAGAAGCGGACGTTAGCATAGGAGATCTAACTTGATTAGCTTGTGATAATATTCCCGACTTACTGATCAGTATTTCTTTTTCCAGTTATCACTGGATTGAGAGAACTAGCGAGTCCTTAGATTGGTGATCTAAACCGGATGGTAGTAGTCAATAGCACCTTATTGGGTGTGGGCTTCAATATGAACAAGTATAATCTCTTGCACTGAAACATTGCAAGCTAGAGTACCTCAGACTAGTGAGGCAGGAGGAGCCTGTCAATATGGTGACCTCGGGTTAGACAAAAGCCCAGGCAGAAAGAATGGAGAATCTATAAAGGCATGGAGGGGAGGACATGTGGTGTGTGTGTTGGGAAGAGACTGGGGACACAAGGTCACTTAACATAGATGAATGTTTCTCATCCTATACTCAGTTGTCACACGCATCGAACCACACCACAAAACACTTCAGCAGCAGGCTTCTGTAGTTGTGGCTACTGAAGACTGAACAGGTCCTGCGTAATACACAAGACCCCCCCCATTTCAAAATTAATTAGCTTCTACTTCATTGGAACATGCTCAAGGAGCTGAACGGCCTACTAATGTTCCTATACGCTACTGCAGTACTAAGGAACGGCTTCATCCAGAACACAGTGGGACAACTGCAGTTAGAAACTTGCTCTCACCTCCTGTAGCCAAGTGCTGTGCTTTCAGAGCAGAATCTCTGCCCATAGTCAACCCATTTCCCACCTGCCCTCTAGCAGAGGCTTGAACTGGCCCAGGGCAATATTGAAGAGCAGGAGAATTCTCACCCATGACCTGGCCACTCTTTACCCTTCAAATTAACATCATTAAGAGATGATCCAATCCATTATCACGTTACTGATTGTGGGAGCTTTTGGTGCAGGACATCTAGCAGCTCCATTTCTGACATTAGACTTCCTTAAAAGAGCCTCCAGTTATCCCACAGTTCAACCCTAAATGCAAGGATTTAATTTAATTCAGAGAGAGGGGAAGAGAAAGCATGTGACTGTCACACCAGGAACCAAGTGCAAGTCTGAAACTGGGATGAAACAGACTTTAGAGAAAGACGACCAGGTTTTGCTCTCAAAATAGTCAATCTTTATTCATTAATTATTGAAAGCAGGAGGCAGCATCATGTGGCAAATGCCAAACGCACAGCCTAAATATTGCACAGAAAAATTGCAGTAAGCAGCAGTGCTCATGGTTGGCGAAACTTTAACATTCATATTTCTTCAAAGCTCCTTAAAGAGACCAAAAGCGTGACAGTAGGGAATGTTCCCAGGGCTTTAGGATTCAGCAAGTTCATCCATGACCCGCTGGAAGGGATCGACACTCCAGTAATCGTAATCCCATCCCAGGAACCAGCCAGTGAATGAGGGAGGCTCAAAACCTTGTTTGACAATTACTATCGGTGTCCTCTTATCCCTGTTGGAAGGATCCGTCTCAATATATTCTTTAGCTAGATTGGAGAGAGAAGTATAGTAGTGAATGCTTATCCTTTACTATAAAGTCTTTGTACTACTGGACAGTTCTCACATTAACAGCTCCGTATAATCCATCTCAGTGCCGCATGGCCTCTGGACCCCTCGCTGCAATGCGATTGGGGAAAAGTGGGATTACTGGCATCAAACTGTGCAACAGCCTTCAATCCTGGCTGGCACGGAAAGTGCTGAATCCAAGTACATACAAACATGACTCAATGTGCGCGTGCACGTGTGTGTGTGGGGGCAGTATTGTGCAATCAAGATCAACCCTTTAATTTCCCTCTTTAAATCCGCATGCAACTTCCTGAACAGCTTCTTTGCGGTTGGGCATGTGACTGGGGACTTGGCTCAAACTAAGACTATCACAGCACATGATAAACTTGTTCATTGTGTCACGAGATGATGGTGCAATTTATTCACTTTATAGCGACATTACGTAGGTGCACATTCCTTGCATTGCCCATGTGTACAATTGTACTGGTACAAGGATGCTCCCCCTAGCAGCGTGATTAGAACATTTACACTACTTTAAGGAGTATGTATCACAGCCCCCTCAGCATTGTGATCATTAAATCACAATTCACAAGACAAAGCAGTATTCTAAATATTAATTAGAAGAAACAGAAATAAGTCATAATTAACCCTTCAGGTGAAAAAATAAGCGCTACTTAAAAATCATTATGCCCAACACCCACACCACAGGCCTGGTGCCAACAACTGACTCATGACACTACAGCAACTACAAAAGAACACCAACATTTCTGCCCAAACTTGCAAATTCTTCCACCCCCCCAGTAAATGGTGATCTTTCACAAAGTTACTGAAGACTAGTAACATTTTAGTTATTACGCCAGTAAAAAGGACTACATTGCAAGGAGTTACCATCCCTTCAGCATCCATTACCTCGGTTCCCAACCCATCTGACACATTTCTGGAGGCATTCTTGGTCAAACAACATTCCCATCTCCAATTTATTCAATATGTAACGAGTGAAGAGTTCAAAGCAGAAAGAAAACACTGATTTTTTCTGCTTAGTGTCCCAGAAACTAACTCCCAAAGACACCACCCTAATCCTGAATGTTACCTCACTGTATGCCACCCATGCACTCAATTCCTCCCCACCTCCGAAGAAACAATGGAAGTTGGCATCTACCATCTACACCAGATGATTAATTAATCCCGACATGAGACTGAACACTGGTGGCACTATTCAAATCGAGCCTGCAAGTTGTATCCACTGTTCTTCAGCAGCAATTAAAAAAAGGGACTCTTCTGTGGAAAGTCCTCTTGTCACCACACCCTGCTGCTCTCCATTCACCACAAGGTATGGAACAACTGATCAAATGACAGAAGCTCATCCTCAAGCTGTGGCTCAGGACACCAGCTCTATCATATTCTGGCATCTTTCCCAAGTTATTAGAATTCTTTGATCTGGCGACACTTTTGTTACACTGGACAGTATTGTTAATTAGACGTGATCAAAAAATTAAAACATTTTGACAGGCGAACGAAACAGTTGCCAAGTCGAAAAAAAAAGTGAAATTCCAGGTTGTCATGTTGGTCCCAGAAAGACTGGGTTGGGTAACAGAGTTGTGATGTGGAGCCCTTTCAGCGCAGTTGAGTGCACTCCAAATTCCTCTCCCTACTGTACACATTGTACGGGGAGTGTGATTTCTTCCTTTTCCAATGGAATTAGGCAAATGAACTAGGGAGTTACTTGCCTCATTATGGGGCCTGGACCAGCATATTCCAGAGATGATCAGTCAGCTCTGGATAGTTAAAACAGAGAAAACCTTCCACTCCATGGACTCACTGGGTGATTTGCAATACAAACATCACCCTCTCCTCAAGTCAGTGGGAGATGAAGGGGCTGCTAGTGCTAATTAAAAAGAAAAAAGGTGGTGTCCAAATGAACAAGCTCGGTGCGGAATTCTTACCTGATTTTTGGGCCTCAGCTTTTTCTTCTTCATGTGCTTCATTACCTATCCACACAAACACCTAGAAAAAGGACAACACCACAAACTCAGTTGTAATGCAAAGAGAGCAAATTTCAAGATAAACACTGGTTTCCTGTACAAATTAAAAAATGGCTGAGGGCAAGAGAGAGAGAGAGACAGCATTGTATGGTGGAACTCCAGGTAGTCCAAGTTTTTCCCACTGATATAAAGTGCCCGTGCAATATAAAGAAAAGGGAACATTACTCCTAACTCACCAAAGCTTGCACACTGTTTCAGGTCATGTCAGGAGTTTGACAGAACACTACTTATTTGCGTGGATGAGTGTAGCTTCAACAGTCAAACCGCTTGGCATTATTCAGGGAAAAAGTAGTGCATTTGAGCTGCATCCGATCCACCATCCCCTTGAAACATTCACTCCCTCTAAACTCAGCACTGTGGCATCTACAGCAACTCCCTTCAGCCTTTCAAATTCATGACTTCTACCAACTCGACAAATAAAAGGCAGCAGAGAAATGGGAACCCTCATTACTTGCACACCACATCTTGTCTCAGGAATTAGTTGCTATTCATTCACTGTTTCTGGGTTAAAATCTTGGAGCTTCATCTTTAAAACAGCAACATGGATGACCCCAAACCAGGTGAGTTACAGCAGCTCACCACCTTCTCCAGGGCAATTAGGGGCTGGCAATAAAATATGTAGGTGATACCCAGAATGAAAGGATGATATCCTGTTCATGAGAGCCGCAGCTTCATTTGCAATTACAAACAGACATGGCCCAGCATCAAATGCCTCACCTGGTCCCACGTATCAAGAATCATGACGTCATCAGTGGCTAAATCATCCTGGATCTGTTCACCAGGCACCTCTTCAATCTGTCAAGAAAATGGAAAACCAATGTTCAAGTAGTCACGGTGCAGTTGTAAGGACTCTAAAGGAAGCAGATATTGGAATTTGTAAGTTCCTTTGGGCTCAGTGAAGAGCACACCCCTCCCCCCCCCAACCCCCAACCAGGTTACATGCAGCATAAAGCCGTGCGCTAAATGGTATTAGCATTGCTTAATTGTGACACCCACCCCATGAACACCCTACACCCTTCCAGATTGGCCAACATTCTTCATTCTATCCTTTGATGAACAAATTTTAGGTTGCTCTGTCACTGTGGCTCTGCACACTCTCCCCTGAATGGAACATCTTCCCTTAGGTTTTAAAGGGCATCCTACCTCTCCAACTAAGCTTTGATCATCCATTCCAATATATCCTTGTACAATTTAAACATCAAAACTTTGTTTAACAATACTCCTAAGAGCCTGGTGACACTGCATGATGTTAAAAAAAGTGAGATATGGAATTCAAGTTGCTAAGTCAGTCTCACATGCACTTAAACCATTTTGCAATAAAAACAATTTCAACACAAGGGATTATGCCCAGTTAGATAACTCAAGTCCGACAATTACTTCACACGGTTCAAGGTATTGATATTGTGTAAATGCTTTCCATGTGAGTCACTGCACTACCCCCAAGGGTTTGGGGTTAATGGAAAAAAACATTATGTACATTATTGTGGAAGGAATGTTCTTGGGGATTAGAATTCCTTCAGTTTCCGGCTCTTGCATAAACAGGAAATATAGAATATCTAATCTCCACCACGTGAGAAATCCCAACATTCAGCTGCTCTGGCTTTACTTGTATCAGATGCAGAGATCGTCTGAATATTTCAGCAAGGTGCAATACAAAGAAAAATGGCACATGGCCAAAAATATTGTATGAGAATAGTCCTCACTCCGACATCAGACATTTCCTGCTGTTTCTCCACTTCTACTGCTTTTGCCTCAAGCTGCAGTGTGAGCAGACACACATACTAGCCAGGCTCACCTGATAAAGTGAATGATGAATAAACAAAACCACTTGACCCATCTCAAGGAGGAGCCCCCAACACCTGCTGACTCGCTCTCAGTAGAATCCAATGGGCTGGCTTTCAGTTTTATATCTGGAAATCCAGGCCACACCTCAAATTATGCTGAGCAAAGAATTTGTCCAATATCAGCCTGATATTGTCGAGATTACAAAAGCATAGGTGGTCACGAGTCAGCGTAATACTCCACTTTTGAGCTTTCTTCCATCCACTGCCCTTTATGTCCTTACTTGTTTTATCATTTTAGTTCGACTCCATAATCCTCTGTGCTACTGTTGTCTTGGTATATGGCTGCAAATTCTGCATTTTTTTTAAATACATACCGATTCTGCAAAACTCAAATGATTTCAGTACAAACAACACCTCTAAAAAGCAGTTAAAAGATTTTCCCTTATATCAGAACCCTGAAAAGGTGAGTGAGCTTAGTTCGAGTCGTCAATCTCCAACATTTTGGTCAACAGAACACAACACATTCTGATTGTAGCCAATACAAATGGAGGTGACAAAGTCAAGCATCGTATTGCCTTTCTTGACCCATGTGCTGCATTAGCTAAACAGGTCAAGTGTCAACGTGACCAAGTCTTCATAGTTAACTGTTATGACACAATCCACCAGGGTTCACTTTCCCACCTACGTCAAGCGGTGACATTTCTTGGGCTAGTGTAAATACAACAACAAAATCAGTAATATCGCTTCTCCACTTGATTCTGTAAGTTGGGTCAGCTCTTCACATACGAACTTTGCCCAGTTTGAGATTATTGGGCACTTTGAATGGAGCTTCTCAAGCCAAATCATTTGTGAAGTAGAAACAACAGGAGATTGAAGTTTGGAGCCTCATTACCCCAACCAGTACATCTCTACTTTCATCGTTTACTTTGGAAATGGAGTAAAAACTATTTCTCTATCTTTACATAAAGATTTACCTCAAAGTTATTTCAAATTCAAGTTGAGAGTTGATGTACATCAAGTATTGAGTTTACCACTGCACTAGTGGGTTGTCACTTCAATGAGGCTGTAACCAGACTTTAAAAATCTAAGCCTCGTGAACTGAGCCTACACTACACAGTCCAGTTGCCACTGCTCCGATACCAACTCCCCTCGTGTGTTCAGATTATACGCTCTGCTAAAGGCTCAGTTCCCTGCACATTGGGCAAATGAACTGGACTGGAGAAAGGTCTCATGTCTTCAGTTCATTGCTCCATAACGTGGTGGGAGTCAGCCAGTGCAAACCTTAAAGCAAGCTGCTCTAGACTGCAACCTGATTTTTTGACCTCTAATAGCCTACCTTCTGCAAAAATGTTACCGCTGTATCACAGCCAAAAACTCCCAAAAAGGCCCAATAACTACAAGATCAAACTCACAATGAAGCGCCCAGTCTTGTTCGAACATGCAAAGAGGCGAGGAGGATGGACATCCATTTTGTTTTTCAGTCTTAGTGAAGTGCGATAATCTGTCTTTCCACCCAAGATCGTCCAGAATTCATCTGTCACCATAGCAGCAAAGAATGGAACAGATACATTATTCAATTTTTTCAAAAGGAACATGCAGGTTGCACACTGACGATTGTGGATATTTACTGACCAACCTGTTCAGAGATGTTATGAGCAGCTGGGACTTGAACCCAGAGGTCCTGGCTCAGAAGTGGGGACATTACCACGGCATCACAAGCCTCACTGATAACTGCACACAAGGTTCAATCAGCACGCTTATTCCAATGTAAAGACTTTCCTATGGCTTGTTACAGTCAGTGGTTGAAGCTATCCACTTCGTATATTTCTATATTACTGGTAAAATGCCATAATGACCACAATAATTTTTATACTCGATATGTAACCATCTTTTAGAATCAGAATCCCTACAGTGTGGAAGCAGGCCATTTGGCCCATCAAGACCACTTTAAACTGAAGATGCATTGAGACAATGTGGCAGTTGTGATTTAACACTCCTGCTTTGCTTGCACTAGCATTATGGGAAAACTAAAGTTTGCACAAATTATGAATGAATAATAAGTGGTCTATTACGGGGTGGAGTGCAGGTTCGCTGTAACCCACCTGGTTCACTGCCCTCTGTTATTTCAGAGGCACTGACTCCCAGTATGTCCAGCAGTTGCTGGGCTCCTTGCTTCTCAGTGTCACTGGCTCCATGGCCAACCCAGAGAAAGGATGATTCAGGAGTCTTCAGAACAAAGACATCATTTGAATTCAGGTTGGAGGCAACAACATCGACCTGTTGGGAACAGAGACCATGACATCAGTGAGTCCAGCTGCTGTCTTCTGAAAGCCCAGTTCCAAATACAGTTTATTTCATCATGCCTCAGGGCCAAACGATATTGCCCTCTCCGAATACATCCAGAAGTATACCAGTATTCCCATTTTAAGGTACGTAGACCTCACGTGACAGAATTTGTTTAGTAAGAAAGACTCGCTTTTATATAGCACCGTCACCATGTGTCTCAAAGTGCTTTCAAGCTGATGAAGTACTTTTTTTGAAATGCAGCCACCACTATAACAGCAGAAATGCTGCAGCCAATGTGTACATAGCAAGCTCCCAAAGGCAACAGTGTGACAATGACCATGTGTTGAATGAGGGGTAAATACTGGCCAGAACACTGGATAACTACCCTGTTCTACAAAACAGTGCCAGCCTTCAACATCAGGTGGGGTCTTAGTTCAAGATCAGTTCTGAAAGACAGCACAGGGTCTAGGATGGGAGCAGGTTAGGGCTGTGCTCAGCCCAAGTGGGTCTTGAGCCTAGAACCTTGTGACTTAGGAAAAAGAAAGAAAAAAAAAGTGCTACCCACCAATCCCTAGCTGATAGTTAAAAACAAAACGATTGGTTTTTGAAAGAGAATGAGTGGGACTAAAAAAAAAGAGATGAAATCACAACAGAAGCTTCATATGGTTTGAGATTAATTTTTTTTAATCTTCACTATTTTAGGAGTCGATGCCCAATCGTATGTTGCAAAATGCTTTAGTTCTAGGGCGTGGATGGTGTGGGGGAAAACCTTTCTGGACTTGGTTTTCAGACAAATCCAAGCAAAACAGACAGTTGGCCATCCTGGTCAACATCTGGTGCACAGCAAGGAGATTTCACTGGAAAATCGGACTACCTGCATGACAGCTTCTTGCTATTTCAACTCAGCAGCTATGGAGTATGAAACAGAGTTAACCGTGCATGTCCAGTGTGACCCTTCTTTAGAACCAGACTTGAAACATTCACTCTCTCTCCCACTAGATGCTGCCAGATTTGCCAAGTTTCTAGAACAATGTTAGTTTCAGATTTCCAGAAACTGCAGTATTTTGCTTTCATTTGTGTTCTGACCAGTACCACATTTGATACCAAAGTCTCCCCCCAGCACGATAAGTCACATTAAAACAAAAAACATTCTTCCATGCCCTTCTGGAATGACATTTTCTTTGCCTGATCTTATATTTAATCCTCATGAGATCAAGATCCCTATTGAGTGGCCTTCTGGTTGATTACTTTCTTGGGGATATTATTGGGCCTCTACAACTGTCTGACCATTAAAATTGCAGCACATTAGTTCAAAATGCCAATTTTCACTGTTGCCACTCTCTGCCTCCCCCTCCAAACCAGCTAATCATGACTCTGCTGGTAGCACTCCTGCCTCAAGCAGAAGCCCTGGGTTCAATTCCCACTCTAGGCTTACATTGCCAAATAAAAAAAAACACCCAAATAATGGCACACTTGACAGAGATGGAGGGAGTGGTGCACTGTCAGAGGTGCCAATGAAAAATGTTAAACAGAGGCACCACCTGTCACTATATATAAGCACAGGTATTCTTGGAGACAATATACCACACTGTTACTTGTGGAGCTCTGAGCATCTTCTGGCTGCTATACTTCCAACATCAAAAGTGATGTAGGAAAACTTCAGGAGATTTTTTTGTAGCATATGAAGTTCAGTGGTTACAAAAAGCATTGAATAAATGCAATTTCTTCTACTACAAGACCAAAAACTACTCCATCTAACAACCCACCTTGCCAATACTTTCACATTGTCAAACAAAAACAAAAACTGATCTTGAGTTAATTACAGCTGCATCTTACAACTTAACCTTTGACTCCTGGAAACTCAGCAACACTGGGGTCCCTGGGGATATTTTGGGAGTGGAGGACGGGGAGGGGTGAAATAAGAGAAACTTAACCCTGTTGCTTCCTCAAAAATTAATCTATTGCACCTTTCCAAAAAGGTTCTTTACCACACTACCTCCACCCCCAACAATTGCTTTCAGTGTTGCTGCTTACAAATAGTCTTAAATTGAAAACACATGAATAATGGGATCTGCCAGGAGTCTTTGATGTTGGTGTAAACTAATTGATTTGAGGGGGGATTAAAAATACAAAGTTTTTTTTTGTTTTAAACAAAGATAAACCACACAGACCAATTCCAGTGTCTGGAAGCAAAAAGGTAATCCACCTGCTGTCACAATAAGCCAACAATTCCTGATCCTCTCAGGCATTCCCTTTACGGTCAGTCAGAATAACGGGGGTACATGTACACCTCTAACAAGTTAATACAAAAAATGGGAGCTAAATCTGTAAACTTCCTAGTCAATGTCTCCCTGCGCAAGGCTGATCTTTTAACCAAATCCCATTCAGTGCAATGAGCAATAGGACTGAGGCAGCGTTCTGGGTTTCCAGCTATTCTTGTAATTATACCATACATGCCTCAACAACACTGGGTGCTGCCCAGTGAATGCACAGGGACGGTGGGAACCAAATGACAGACAACTCCAGGATATCTGAGATAACAAAAGGTGTAGAGCTGGATGAACACAGCAGGCCAAGCAGCATCAGAGGAGCAGGAAGGCTGACGTTTCGGTTCTGGACCCTTCAACTTTCCTGCTGTGTTCATCCAGCTCTATGCCTTGTTATCTCAGATTCTCCAGCATCAGCAGTTCCTACTATCTCCAGGATACCTGCTGCTGGGAAGGCCTGACGTGGGACTCCGGACAAGGGTCACATTGCTTTTGGGTGGGAGGGGAGAAAGAGAATGGTCAATGTCTCAAACTGGAGCTCACACAGAAACAAGCTTGTCTGTGTGTTACACTTGGTACAACCCACACCAGGAAGTTCAGTTCATCCAGTGTCACTGCATCTCGTGTATAGGTACATCAGCGACACCTGCTGGTAGCACAGCATTCCTGCAAGGAGGAGGAACCCAGGACCGGAAAAAAGTTCATGTTTGTCATGTGGTGAAAGCAGACATTTTTAAACAATTTTTATTTTACAGTTTACATTTGTGAAAAAAAAAGGAGACCAAAAGGACCTTTAAATCACTCTGAAAATAAGGATCTGCCTTTACAAGCTTTAACAAAAAACTGATTTAATCTTGAAGATTGAGGAAAGAAGAGACAGTGTTAAAACTAACCTCCACTGCTCTGGTGGATCCAGAGCTGCTGGCTCGGACTTGAAACAAGCGATTGTCTGCAGGCACAGTCTGGCCACCTTCTCTGGAGGTCCCACCTTTGTAAACAACCATCGGCTTTCCTCCAAACATGCTCATCAAATGGGCTGGCTCCTTCCCCTGGATCACCCGGACCTATGCATATAAAAGGAAACACAAACCGTTACCATCACATATAGACATAACACTAGAAGGTGCACAAGTCATGGCAAACTCACTGACATCCTGAAAATGATTTAACTCCCGAATGGGTGGAAAACCAATCTATGCAAACTCATTCCCAGAATAAATCCTCTATAACATGAAGCATCACTCAAAATTATCTTCAGACACTAAACATAACATCAGTGTCACGATAACATTTATAATCTACCAGACAAGGTCAAGATTGCCTCAAAAACAAAAAATTCACTCAAATATTTCTCCTTATATTAAGCAGTAAGTTCAATGGAATTTGTTCAAACAGGCTGCAAGTTACTGTTGTTATTACAGTTAGAGTCAGATGTACAGCATGAAAATAGACCCTTCGGTCCAACTCATTCATGCTGACCAGATATCCTAAATTAATCTGGTCCCATTTGCCAGCATTTAGCCCATATCCCTCTAAACCCTTCCTATTCATGTACCCATCCAGATGCCCTTTAAATGCTGTAATTATACCAGCCTTTACCACATCCTCTGGCAGCTCATTCCATACACGCACCATCTTCTGCGTGAAAATGTTGCCCCTCAAGTCCCTTTTCAATCTTTGCCCCTCTCACCTTAACCCTCTGCACTCTAGTACTGGGCTCCCCCACCCCAGGGAAAAGACCTGCCTATTTCTATTTAGCCTCTCCCTATAGCACGAACCCTTCAACCCTGGCAACATCCTTGTTAATCTTTTCTGAACCTTTTCAAGTTTCACAACATCCTTCCTATAGCAGGGAGAGGTGATGGCCTAGTGGTGTTAAATCGCTGGACTGTCAATCCAGAGACCCAGATAATGTTCTGGGGACCCAGGTTCAAATCTCATCATGGCAGATGGCGGAATTTGAATACAATATATCTGTAATTAAGGATCCAAGACCGTGAATCCGTTGTTGATTTTCAGGAAAACCCATTTAGTTCACTAATGTCCTTTAGGGAAGGAAACTGCCATCCTTCCCTGGTCTGGCCTACATGTGACTCCAGACCCACTGCAATGTGGTTGACTCTGAACTGCCCTCTGGGCAATAAATGCTGCCTAGTCAGCAACACCCTCATCTCGTCAATGAATGAAAAAAAAAAAGAAACCAGAACTGCACACAGTATTCAAAAAAAAAAAACCTAACCAATGTCCTGTAAAGCTGCAACATGACCTCCCAACTCCGAGAGAGTCTTAGCTTGTTTAGCAAGGTCCTCTCTTGCCATGGTTAAAAAATCAGAAGCTTCATGAACATTCCTCTGTTCACTCACACCAGCCCACCCCCTCACATGTAAGGTCTGGGTGCATTTCATTTTGTTTCCCCAATTTTCTGTGGATCTTACCTCCCGCCACTTACTTCATGACCAGTGTCACCACTTTAAAAGCAGCAAGCTACTTGTACACAGGATTAGAGCCACAGCCAGCCCGGTGGTTTCCTGTTAGCAGTTGGAGGTGTTAAATGACAATATCACACGCTGCTGATAAATAAAGCATCTGCCCTTTAGGATCAATCACAACCCTGTACATTGTTAGAACATGCAAATGGAAAAAAAAGAAGTTGCCTGTGGTTAAAAATTTCTTCACTGCATGAGAGAGTGTCACCAGCTAAAAAGGTCAGCATCTGTGGCTCCTCCCCAATGACCCTTGAACTAAAGTGGCTGGCTGGGTCATTTGAGGCTGGTTAAGAGTGTCTACGATGTTGTTGTAGGCCTGGAGTCACACGAACACCAGACCAGGGAAGGACAGGAGATTCCCGTCCCTGAAGGGAGACATCAGTAAAGCAGATAGACTTGCACCACCAATAACTGTCACAGGACCATTATGGATATGAGCCTCCAGGTGCCAGATTACTATCCTATTGCATGGAACATGCTGTATGGGGACAAGTTGAACTTTCTTGAAAATATTATAAATATTCAACCTGAAAATGTTCTATAATGATTTTAAAGAAACACAAAGTATATTTGAAAGAAACACAAAAAAATGGTGTGCATTATAACGCAACCTAACAGGTCAAGATCCAACCAGATTAAGAGGTGATGACGACCTAGTGGAATTAAACATTAGACATGAATCCAGAAACTTAGCTAATGCTCCGGGTACCTAGGTTTGAATCTCACCGTGGTCGATGGAAGAATTTGAATTCAAAAAATAAACCTGGCGTTAAAGAATCTACTGATGGCCAAGAAATCATGGTTGATTATCAGAAAATCTCATCTGCTTCACAAAATGTCCTTCAGGGAAGGAAAGCTGCCATCCTTACCTGGTCTGGCCTACATGTGACTCCAGACCCACAGCAATGTGGTTGACTCTGAACTGTCCAGAAATGGCCTAGAAATTGCTACAAACATTCAAAGAAATCAAAGTAGACGGACCACCAAGCATCAACCGAGACACTGGAAAAGACAACAGCAAAAGGAAAAACAAAAAACTGCCTTGCCAATCCTGCAGAGTACTCATTAACATCTAGGGGCTAGTCCTTTGTCATTGGGTCAAAATCTTGGAATTCCCTCCCCAAGGGCATTGTGGGTCCACCTACAGCACATGGGCCTCAACAGTTCAAGAAGGCAGCTCACCACTATCTTCCAAGCGCAACTAGGGATGGTTAATAAAACCGAGCCAGTGACACCATTCCTGGGGAATGGATTTTAAAATTCAAACAAAATAGGTCTGACTCTTTACTGTCCCTACACTATTTCCAGCTAAGTTGGTCACTGAAATGGAAAAAAAAACATTAAGATGAGATGGACGGATAGAAAAAGGAGGAGGATAACTGCAAGGAACAACTCAATAAAAGAGAACATCAAAGTAGTAGTTTGTGAAAATAGAAGGAAACTATGGGATTAATCTGAAGCCAAGTTTTGAACACAAGACGCATCCATGCAAAGATCCAAAACTGATAGGCAGCACAATCTTAATGCAGCATGAAAATTAGAAGGGCAGGTCAGGACAGAAAACATTGCCAAAGTGAAACATGTGAAGAGTTGCTAGACATTTCTATTGGCAGTGCAGTGTTACAGGAGCAATGCAACACTGCAATCACCCCTATACTGTGGGGGCAAATGCTATGTCTTCAGTCAAACCTTCCCTGGAACTAACTAACTAACTAACTAGAGATGGAAGTATGATACCAACATAACTGAAACTAGTCAAATCAACACACAAAAGAACAGAGTTAACATCGAATTAAATAGAACAGCCAGGAGCATGGTCATGGCAATATTTGTTTTCTCAGCTGCTGCTAGACCTGCTGTGCACTTTGAATTTTAGATTTCCAGCATCCACAGCTTAAGACTTCAAATAGAAAAAGAAAGCTCTTGGAATGGTACCTATTTTAGGTACCCGAGTCCATATAACAGCACCCAATATCAGTACAAGTCACAGATTAGAGATAGATAGAAGGGCTGCTTGTTAGTGAATGGTGGAATCACTTGGACAGCACTGCACATGTATAATGCCTGTTAATATCAGCATCTCTAGGTGTGCAACATGAAATCCAATCTAGTCTCATTTCTCTCCACGGATGCTGCCAGAGCTACTGAGTGTTTCCAGCTATTTTGATTTTTGCCCAATCTAATAAATAGCTCTGTGAGAGAGGGGTTAAAAGACATTGATGCTCCCGGTCATTACTTTTTTGTTATAGGGAGCAGTTGGAGAAATACACAGATCGCACTCTGACTCAGTTAGGCAGCTGAACAAAACCCCTTCGAATGTGCACAACAGGCAAAGGAGTGACTCCCAACAGCTTCCAAAGTAAATAATCACAAGTACAACTTACTGACCTAAAATTAATTTCTTGCCCGAATTGGACTAAATTTGTAAATTCAGATTAATGTTTCAATTTAGATCTAAAAAAAAAAAGCATTAGTTTGCCAGCAGGTGATTTTTAAAACTGGATTGCATCATTTTTCTTGCATAGCTTCGAGAGAAGTGAGAAAGCCCAGGTCTGAGCCCTGAGAAGGGAAGGTTTCCTGGACTGAGTCACGATACAGTACTTTAGATCAAAGTCAGAATCCTAACAGAGTCTATTGCAACATGTTAGATTAAAACTGAAAATAAATATATTGGCTCCCATCTTCCCACCCCCATCCCCATCCAAAGTGGCCATGATTGCAACTGTGGTTCTGTCAAAGCATGGTGTGGTTGAACACTCCGCTCCAGCCTACAGTTTGGCCCAGAGACAGGCAAAGTGCAGATTAGTCACAATCTCACTGAATAGCACAACATGCTTCACAAGTTGAACGGCCTCCTCCTGTTCCCATTATTGTTGCAAGTCTCAGTCAGAGGGGCCCAAGTGGCCCTACATTATTCAGTCAGAATTTCCCTTCCCAGCAAAGATACTGGTCTCCACCTCTTCCCTGAGGCATTAAAATCTTGTCAGCAACTGACCTCACCTCAAAAAAAAATTCCCCATTTGTCACAAACTAACGTTTTAACGCAATTTCTGGACCTGCACATATACAGCAAGTATTTCTGATCCATCGTAGTCAACAAATCCAATTGAAACCAGACAGCTTTACTGAAAACTTGGCCGTAGATGGATGAAAAATGTATTTAACTTGACAACAGCTCATTTCTGCCACCTCAAAAAGGAAGGAGCAGAAAACAGTGAGTAAAATATTTCCGCTCACTAATGAGTTGTCCTAGGATTACAAGAGCAATAATTTTCCAAATTTTACAGGGGCGCGAGTTGATTGGCAGATCTCCTACAGACTGGCTCAGATTTGGAAACAGAATGTTTTCGTGAGGCTGGAGGCACAGGTCTGGGGAAACAGCAGCTCCTAAACTCCATCTAGTGGATCAATTAGTTGGTTACAACAGAGTGACGGTGACCAAATAAGGATGGCTTGACGTACAAAGCAGATAGAGATGTCCAATAGTTGCCAATTAGCTAAAACAGCAAGGAACAGGGTGTTGGAATTCTCCCACCTAGGGAATGGAGACAGCAGCTTCGAATGAAATGAAATGGAAGCTCTCCTCTTCATGTTGGCCTTTGTCCAAAGGCAAGTACCAGACTTTAAAGGAATGGGCATGTTGACTGCCATAAGCCTAATAAACCTTCAAAAGCAAATATTTATTTTAACAGCTCTCAGTATTTGTAAGAATATGTTCAGTGCCCAAAAATTTCCTCTGGCATTGCAGAGATGTTATTAAAACGTTTTAAAAACAGGATTGCATTAGGGTTAAATCAGCACAGGAACATTTAAAATGATCAGGATTCCCTACCTAAAACAAAGTCTCTTTTGTCTTTGAATGAATCTCACTCAAGCAGCGAACAAAAACAGCCGTTCTGGCTGTTCAGATTGGAATGGAAGGGCAGAACCACACAGCTTTACTTTTAACTGAAACACTGTTGGATTGCAACTGGAAGCAAGTTCAAGGTGCTAACACTGCTTGCCAAAATTAGAAAAAGAAACGGGTTAAAATTTCCAGCACTGGCATCATACTTTTTGTCTTTTTAAAAAGAGATCCAACCCACTGACAATTTTGGGAATTGCGCACAGGAATAAGCGAATTCAAAACAAAAAAAAAGAAATGAAGGATCAATTGCATAGTTCACCCTTCAGAGCACAGGCTGAACCTTAAACAGAGGCATTCCATCCACAGCTGGTAAATTCACACATGTCTAATTTCTGGTTATAAAACAACTATTCACACCAACAGCAGCATCATCAGATCAACTCAAAACATGCAGAACTATCCCCATGCCTACTGTGCTTTATGGTTAGGTACACAATGCATCTTAATTCTAAGAGTTCAGTGTTACAAAAAGCAGTGAGCTACTGTGAGCAGGCAGCGATACCTGGTTAACAAGTTGAGAACCAGCAACTCCCTGTGGAGAATTAGGAATTCAGACATAGTCAATGAAGTCCTGCTTTGTGAATGCAAAAGTTGTTATTCTGTTGACATGGGGTTATGATCAAACCAATGATTACTAACAGCATTGTATAACAGATCTCTCTCATTCCACCAATTGGAAACACCATTCCCGATCTGGTTGTCTCTTTGAACTAAGTTCTGCCCAGCACCTGCGAGGGGTGTGCTGGTGGAGGGGGCACATCAGTAACAAGCAGTTGCCTGGAAGGTGTACAGCTTGTTGGTTCACAATGTCTCAAACTGGAAGGTCTCTCTCTTTAGATCGTGCAAAATGGAGTGTGCTACTGCATAACTTACCTGAAAATGATTTTAGTGTCCACCGTTCTAAATCACTGGGTTAAAATCCTGGAAAGCACTCCCCCACCCATTTAACAGTGATTGCCAAAAAAAAAAAAAAGTTTTAAAAATCATGACCATCGTTTTCTTTGAAAGAGGCACTACACACCAGGATATTTTCAGAATAAAAGGGAAGCAAGGATTTTTCAATCCAATCAAGAAAGTATTTTCCATTTAAAACCCATTGCTTATGGTAACATCTATCCACCTTGGGAACTGGACAGTGTGTGCCAGTTCTGGATTGATCATTGAACTGCACAGCTGGACAATTCTCCAGTGACAGACCCTTCCACAAAAGGGAAGTGATGAACAGTGTTATCTCAAAAGGTTTACTGATTTCAACCACGTCCTCCTCCCTTTCTGACAGGCTCTCTTCTGCCATCTGATTATTTCTTCCATGCCCCTCCAACTGCTCAACTCCAGGCACCATCTGTCTGTCTGTGGTGTGAGGTCATACCATTCATACATTGACCAAGAACTACCTCAGCTGCAGATGTGGATGAGCCATTGTTGGTTCGGTAATGACAGCAAGCCCCATGTGGAGCATGCCTTTGGGGTTTCAATTGTTGCTCAAAATCAGGCAATGACCCAATGGAAGGTGGAGGCTGCACATCCTGGTCCAGGATTTTGGGTTTTCCTGACAATTATCAGTTTTAAACTCCTTGGAAATCCACGGGAAGCTGTCGCAAGGTGCCATCTGGTGCAGGGTGCCAGCACGGAGTCATCAGCCAACAAGAGTTCACCAACCAGGACATTTGGCTTCGACATGCAGCCTTACCAAGTTGAAGAGCTTGCTGTCAGCTCTGGGGCACAGTTAGCACAGAAGTTGATAAACTTCATAGTTACATGGAGAAAAGAACAATAAAACCATGGCAAATAGGAATTGGCACCAGGGTGCAGCAGTCTTAACCCACTGCTGGTCTGAAGGAGTATTTGATTTGCTTCATTGCAACCGAGAACTGCATGTTCATGTGGAAAGAAATAACACCCAGGGTCGTCAAGCCTATTATAACAGGTGTTGACAAGACCACCAACGTTAGTGAGGGGAAGAGGTCTGCACCGAGCACAACATCACTCCTGTAAACCAGACAGAAATCAAATCAACCAACCTGCCACCTCCAAACCCACACGGTCCACAGAATAAAAGCTCAGTACTTAGGTGGTCACGGTGAGCACCTTCGCTTTTGTATGGTCGATTGTATATGCATCAAACACCTTGAAGCACACATTCCTTCCACCCAAGCCAAGTTCATGGAGATGCTACTGCAGTGCTCTCTTCCCACTTCCGATATTGCATTTGCAAAGCTCTCATTTCCCAGGGGTTTCCCCACTGGCAAGGGGGACAAGAAGCTGGAGCCTCACTACTCTGGCCTTCTGTCCAGCGCCATCAAATGTCTGTAATAGTACCGAGAATTTCACAACAACTTTCTTGTTGCATAGACGGAGGAGATATTGCTCCACTGACCTTTCCTTCTGCTTGCTAGGTTCAGCAATATCTCGTGTTCAAGGCCATTTTTTTGGCTGCTTATGGACTGATTGGTTTCTTCACCCATCTCTCTTATCCAGCACTGTTGCTTGATGCAGAACCAAGCAATCCAATAAGACTGGATTCTCGTAGTTCCAAGAGTGTGTCAACATGGGGTTTGCTGGGGACCTAGGGAATCTGGAGGATATTAAGAATTGCCTGGGTGCTTTCTGGCTCAATGGTACAGCTGGTGTTAATTCAAAGATATCCTTTCTTCTAGGAGTTGTTCCTTGGCTAGAGAATCTGATCTTGCTACACACAGGGATGGTCAGGACCACAGCCAGCACTGTGATAACTAGGAGCAATGAGGACACTTAAAGGTGACCTCTCTGGAAATCACGAGATCTAGCTGGAAGGAGCACAATCCCAGCTGTCCCCAAGATACCTTGTACCATTCCCCAATTTGGGAGCTGCCAATCATTTAACAGTAGCCAAGGGTAACAGTGTTGCTCAAGTATCCCATGCCCAATTTGTTCATCAATTCTTTAGTACCCCATTGGCACAGTTAGCAGCCACTCTGCTTTGAAGTCTTCCGGATTATAGAAGCCCATTAGTGCCAGGAATCCTGCTAAATGGTAGCATCAAGGACCTAATGTTCATCAACGTCGAGATTGCAGGCAGATGTCAGGGCAAAGATGCACATTAAAAAAGTTAACTGGGTGCCTACTTGTTGACAAATGATGTGCAAGACATTACAGCCCTGTGTGGGGTTCAATAATTGTGAGCAGAGTGGTTTTTACTGCAAAAACTTACTTGAAGTGGTATGCTTAAGATTGCCCCGCCACAAAAACATGCAACATTTCCTTTTAAAGGATCCACTGGGAGAGCCTAACTTCTTGCAGTGCAACAATGTCCAGTGAGCCGAAGTGCTTTGTCATTCACAGAGGCCCTGGATTACAAAAACACTTCGAAAGAAACACAACCCAATTCATTCACAAGGAGGCAGCTGACTGGTAACCAACAACAGCCAAGAAACAGTACTGGATAGTGCAAAATTTGTTTACAGTACAGTCCGATGACAAACATTGAGCGCTGCTTTTGTGAAGAATGAAAGATTAGTTTAAGCTACAATATGAACAGGATGAGGGTACAGTGGACTGTTTAGAAATAAGTTCAACAGTCGCCACAAAATTAATTCAATAGTTGTGGTACTGATTGTACAAAGAAGCAACATTGGACTTTGTAGTACTTCCCTATTTAAAACAAAAAAGACAATAGCATTTGAAGCAACTGAGAATAAACAAAACTTTGAAGGGAAGTTGCATTGTTCTTCAGGCAACACGAGAGATACACACAGCTGGTGCCTTGTGCAGTTAACGGTGTGCACAATGCAGAGTTCCTCAGACAGGAACACAATAAAAAAAAACTGTCCTTAAATGAAAAAACTCTGCAGCAGAGAAGTGCAGACATTGATGATTGGTTAACCTATCCAGGAGCAGGTAAGAAATCCCTCTACTCTCTTCGTAATGGAACTTGAGGGCATAATTGAAAAGGTCTCTGCACATTTGACTTCATGGCTTCAGAACTCTAGTTTCTAATAGCCATACCGTCAGACCATCAAAATTTATAAAAGAGCAGAAACCCAAAGAATTAACGTGGTTGGTGCCTGCAGTGCTAGACGTGCGCAAACAATAAAAATAATTGATGCCCTGCAGAGCTGACTGGCACAGAGACAACGGAATAATTAAGGCAGCTACAGTGACCTGCCGCACTCGCTTACTGAACCCAATCATGTGGCCAAGACACAATATAAACAAGCTCGAGGAAACAGTTGTATAATTGTTTCATTTCTTTGCTTTATACTTTTACGGGGTACTTGGTGCTGTGTGTAATAGAAACCTGAAAAAAAACGAACTAATCTCAAAACATCATCTGACATTTATTTAAAAATCAGGTGTTATTACCTGGAGTCACTTAATGGATACACTGAGGCTTTGTTCAAAAATGTGTTGGCTTTACCTGGACAGGGCCACCACCTAGCTCCTCGTCAAGCTGGACAGCCAAGATGGCAGCAGTACCCATTTCATCCTGGGACGATTCACTTCCCAGCCTGCAAGATAGAAAGAGAACCAATTAACACATTAACCAGTGGCACTGGACAGGGGTTAACTTCACAAATGCCACACCTAAACACTTATACTATGCCTTAAAACCAACTTGTTCAGAGGATGCTCCTGGACTCAAACTTGCATTTATTGGCAAATTAAAACATTACAAGCATGCACCTCCTAACCGATTCATTCAGTTGCAATGTGTTGGGTGAAATCCCAGTGAATGCCCTCCAACTGCACTTTGAGAAATGACACCAGAGTCAGCAGACCAAAGACCCCAATCCCCATCGTTCAGCTGACACTGGCTGAGGGAGGCGAGGGTGGGGGAGGAGGAGTCAAGACAACACCTAGGGCCTGGTGACGAATGACATTGCGCGAGAGAGCGAAAACAAATGCCAAACAAACAGCAATCCATTGTTGTGGTGAATGGCAGGGAGTTTGAGAAAAATCAGTCAGCTGTCAGAGACAGGGTAGCTCAGTGGTTAGCACTGCTAGGGACCTGGGTTCAATGCCACCCTCAGGCGACTGTCTGTGTGGAGTTTGCACACGCTCTTCTGGTGTCTGCATGGGTTTCCTCCGGCTGCGTCAGTTTCCTTCCACAGTACAAAGACATGTGGGTTAGGTGGATTGGTCATGCTAAAATTGCACATAATGTCCAGGGATGTGCAGGCTAAATGGCTTAGCCATGGGAGGGCCTGGTTGGGATGCTCCAAGGGGTTGGAGTGGACTCGATGGGCCGAATGACCTGCTTCCCCACTGTAGGGATTCAATGACCGTCTGATTCAGTGTGGGTGGAGGGTGGAGCGAGCGAGCGAGCGCGCGCGCGACCAGCCTTTTAGCATTTAAAAGATCAACTTGCTCTTTCTTAGTGTCAAAATCCAAGTAGCTAACACTTCAATGTTAAGACTTTGCACTGTGACACTACCTATGGTTCACGTGCAAGATGCATGTCCCTTACTAAAACAAAGCTCCATTCCTGGATCTAAAAATGGTTACATTTTAAAACGAGAGGACATTCAAATTTAAAAACAAATAACCGAGTGTACACAACAGCAACTGATCCCAAAAGAATTCCAAGTTAATCTCGCATTTTTGGATCAAGAGAAGGCAATAGATTTGTAAAATAGCTCAGGTGAAAAAGACCATTGAACTGAACTGCATCAGTAGGTTACAAATAAAAAACAGGCTAGATTTTAGTGGTGTGATCCACTTCTCACTCGCCCCCTGACAAAGTAAATTTGGTCAGTGGGTAGTCTTCCCTCGTTCCCTGGTGTTCATTTCAATCTAGCCCCCTCTACAGGATAAGTTGATACCTGCATGAGCAAGCAATAGGGAGGTTCTCAAATAAGCAGCCAGATGTAAGAACCCACACATTTTTCATTGTGCAGGGAGCAAAGTATTAAGATGGATATATACATGGGATTAAAAAAAAGATGCAAAGACAAAAACAGTTTCTCTAAAATCTGCAGCATCTGTTGGAATAAGACTCCACACTAAATGAACACAACAGTGTCAATGCTAGAAATCTAAATTCAAAACTCAATTATTTCCCTCAAAAGATGTTACCTGACCCGAGTGTTTCTCTCTTCACCCCCCACCCCAGCAGATTCAGTTTTCATTTCACGTGAAAATTCGGGTCTTTTCTTCCATGCCCAGAGAGGTTTTGCATAGGAAAATTGCTACTGACTACCTCAGTTATACCCAATCATTCAAAAAAAAAACTTAACTTCTCCCCCTCATGCCCCCCATTTGTTTTTTGAGCAAGAATATTGGAAAATTAACCAAAGTTCATAAAAGACTAATAACACACCCTGTGGGAGACATGGTATCAACAGCAACATGCAGATTTCCACCGTGCGTGCACAGGTGATAGCAGAGAGTGTCACTTTGACCTGGTAGTAATTGAGCTTTAACAGTCTCACTGTATGAGCAAAACCTGCATCCATTTATTAAATTTCTACACAGACAGATGGTGGAGCAGTTGGAGAAAGCTGAGCTATGAATTGTGACAAACCTTCCAGCCATCTTCCACCCCAAATCAATATTTACAAAAAAAATTTCCTTTATCCCTCCAAGTCATCAGCAGAAATGACTCAATTTGGCTCCTCAGCCAAGGTCTGATACGCTTTCTTTTGAGACATTTTTGCTGCCCTCTCACATCAGTATTTTCAGCTATGTGCAATTTAACCACAAAACAGGGTTGCTAACTTTCGCTAAAAGCCCACCAAAAGTTACACACAACCAATCCCCAGCAGCTCTACCCGAGTGTGTGCCTTCCACTAAGGTAGTGAACAATATTCCAGCCCAGAAGGTGCACTCGGGTCTGCTTCATGTTAAACCTGTGCTGTTGAGGTTGGTTGGCTTACCGAGCTGGTTCGTTCTTGTTCTGCAGACGTTTCATTACCCTGCTGGTAACATCCACAACCAGAGCTACAAATCTACTCCAAAACCTTGCCCTGAAGGACAAGACAAACACGCAATCTCACTCTCCAAAGGGAGATAAAGCCAGAAAACCTGGCACATGAAGGATTGAAAATATTGCTGCATTTAAACACTATTAACATTGATTTTTTGGTAAATGACAGCCCCTGGGGATTTTAAAAATGCTCACAGGGACTCAAGAATCATCAATAGGTTCAGGTTTGGGTCAATGAGCAATTGCAGGAGTGGGGGTTGGGGGAGGGGAGGAGTAAATCATTTAAAAAATTCAGAGTGGTGGAAAATAATAATGTCTGTGGTATCAAGGCTCACTATATTCGAAAGAAGCTCAAGTTATCTCCCTGCCTCCCACTCCCTCTGGTTCTGCTCTGTACAGAAACCATAATTCATGATCAGTTACAGTTCCAGGAACCTCCGGCAAGGGGACAAAATTTTCGAATAAGTCCAAGCAGACTGTGCCAACAGGCTAATCCAGCAGTGAGCTGATATTATTTCCAGCCATATCATAGATACACCATCACCTCCGGGCTACCCTCAAAATATGTACTCAGCCCTTCTTGAGTCAGTATTCTTAAATTCTATCCAAACAACTTCATAGCATTACCTTCCTCATATGGGCTGCTGTGGTTCACATGGCAACTGATGAGCAACCTTTTCAGGGTAGCCAAGGATAGGCCAACAAACAAACAAACAAACAAACAAAACACAGTCTCAGTGACACCACATCCTCCGAACAGAATCTACTTGAAAAATAGGTTCGCTCCCATTAATGGTACTGCAATTGCATATGGACTTGCATTCAGGAGATACCCAAACGTTAAAAATGTGGATTAATTTGGGCTCCTAAAAACAGTGGATTGAAACAGTGGCTCTTTTGGAGTTGGAGCTCAATAAACCGGTCATGAACATAGAAATTAGAACTCAGATGTACCAGGATTAAGCTGTAGTTCTATCCTTCGCCTAGTTAGCTGGAAACAATAAACAGCTCTTGTCCTAACAACGTGCACAGCACTTTTCCTAAGCTCACAGTAAAGGAACAAATCAGAAAAGACCGATTTATTTTCAGTACCCGGTCATTTCTTTTTAGAAAAGGAAATTTTACTGGTCTGACTTACGTGATTCTCCAGACCTTTGGCAATGTGGTTGACACTTAACAGCCTTGAAGGTAGTTAGGGATAAGCAATAATGCTGACACACAGATGCCCACATCCTATGAACAAAATCTCAGATGGTGCTTTGCACCCTCCACTCAATTTTCAGTTGGAGTTTACATACAGAAAGAGGTCACTGCAATATAACGGACTAATTCAGGAGTAGCATGGACCCAGGGACACTTGCTGGTAACATTTCATTGGATGGAAACTATTCTAAGACTGGCTCAGATTTCTTCTTTCACAAGGACTATAAACACCTTTCACATTCACCAGAAACAATGATATTCACAGGCAGTGAATAGTTTTTGAAGTGGTCATAGTTGTGTTGGCAAATGCAGCAAGATCAGGGGCAGCACGGTGGCTCAGTGGTTAGCACTGCTGCCTCGCAGCCCCAGGGCCCTGAGTTCGATTCTACCCTCGGGCGAATGTCTGTGTGGAGTGTGCACATTCTCCCAGTGTCTGCATGGGTTTCCTCCCACACAGTCCAAAAACATGCAGGGTAGGTGGATTGGCCATGCTAAATTGCCTGTAGTGTTCAGGTATGCGTAGATTAGGTAGGTTATCTGGGTGGGATATCCAAGGTCCGATGTGGACTTGTTGGGCCGAAGGGCCTGTTTCCACGATCTCCCACAGCAAGGTGAAAGGAATGGACACTTGCCTGGCCATTTGAGATAGTGGCGTTGGTGGGAAGGAGACAGAACCATCCACTCCTCCTTTAAACAGCCCCATGGAAATTGGACGCCTAGCTGAATTCACAGAGGGCACCCAGCTTGAACAGCCTTCTCAATGTGTGTCAGCAATGTCCATCGAAACAAGAAGTGACCCCAGAAAGCTTTTACAAAAGAAAAAAGTAAACAATAAATAGACTATCCAATAAAAAGTCTTCCAACAGCTTACCAGTAATAGATGATGTGACCCTGTCTTCCTGAGAAGGTGTAAGGATACAGGATAATGTAGCAGTCCCCTCCGTAGAACTGGCCATGAGTACTTGAGTCAACAGGTACTTTGTCACTGCCTTCAATACGCCAGATCTGAAATGGTTCAATTTGATCATTAGTCTTGTCCAAGGTAGTATTTTATCCCCATTCAGGTTTCTGAAGGCACTGACTCCAATTGGAGCAGGTAAGGCCTTTTTCCATAAAGTCAACCAACTGGTTACTTCCGTGTACACCACAGTGGACAGTTCCTCAAGCTTCTTTTAGTCCACAGTAGGACAGGTACACTCACCGTCCAGCACAAAGAGGCCACAGGATAGCAGAACGTACCAGTTGTTCCCCCCTCTGGCCCAGAAACAAGAGGCACATTGGTTAGTACAGCATCCATGTTAAATTAGACAGTGCAAGTTTCAGTCTGATACTACTCCCAGTCACACTTGGCATGAAAATGAAACCTGATTCTAACGTGGGTAACCTATCCCAAAGTAGCTACTGCAAGGAACTGAGACCCATCATAATAACTTATTCTTTTCCTTTTGTCTATGGTGGTAGCCATTACAGCGAAGAAACAAAAGCACTATATCCTCCCAATTCAACTCTGCCACTCACCAACCCCCCCCCGTTCCTTATGGCGTACAATTTACACCAGATAGGAATCCATGGCATTTCAAAGTAAAACAGCCCTACATGCTTCCTCCAGGCCATCAAAAACATTACGTTCACCAGATAGATATCTGATTTTCTTTAAGATGCATGTGAAACAATATATAGTTACTTGCATTTACACTTGATCTTGCATTACACAATCTGGAATATAGTAACGGAGGAGAATGGGGCCTGTAGTGTACGTTAACTGTTTAGGTTCTGAAGTCTCTCCAAATTTAATTTGCAATCCAATAAAGTAACTTTAGGTGCAGTAAGGATGTCTAGATAAAGTGTGGTTCTAGGTCTAAAGCTGGAAGGTGGTTGGCCTTGTTGGACAACGGCAAACAGCAGATTTATCTGTTTTAAAAAAGGTCTCGGACCTTAAATGACAATTTAGCTACAAGCCTCTTTGACAGTGTAGAAAGATGGGGGAGCACAGGAGAAAGAGTGTTACTACATGGAAGGAAGCTGGTTTAAAAAAAAACTCAAAGATCACCCAGATGTAGTTTCAGCTGCAGAGAAAAGGTGCCTGCACTTGGTGTGGTCCAGCCACAGCCAATGAGAGATTTCTGAACTAATTGCATAGCAGACATGGTCAGCCCCTTCAAATACCATTTTTCATGTCTCCAATCCCCATCCCTAAACCCCCAAACTGCTTCCACTCCTGTTTGCCCTTGTCCAACAGGCAAAGCACCTACTCCCACACCTTTCTCCAGACATCCTTAAGCTGGTCAGCCAAAATTGACAGAATGATAACTTAGCAAATGAGAAGCTGAAATTTAAATGGTGTCTACTGTCAAAGGCGACCAAGTGTCATGGGACACTACACTACATTACAAGATGCTACACAAAAGTGAAAGGTGGTTGCTGAAAGCAGGTTTGGAAGTGGCACGAACAACATCTCTACACAGCTGGGTCCTAGTGAAGACCAGGTTTCCTTCAGGGAAATCTTAATGCTTCCAACAAGCTACCCCTTTGCTTCATAAACCTCCATCCTCAGGTTGGTAGCTCTCCAGGAGGTAGTGATGAGTTAGCAGTTTACCGTTTTATCTCCAGACCCATCATCCACCATTCCATATTGAGCAGCCATGGCAGGAGACTCGTGCAAAGTTGCAGCATCGAAAGGCACTTTTTCAATTTTGGCAATCTGCCCAGAGACGTAACAGGTTCCCATTCCCTCCGTCTGATACAGGTCAACCCAATTCTTGAAGAATTGCTTGAACAGTGGGGTCTCACCGGTCTCTGGCAGAATCTGAACCTAAGAAACATGACAGTTGCAGGTTTATTACAACAGCCTTACATTACAATGGAAGGGTTACATCTGTTCTTCTGAGTATAAACCATCAAAGCAGAAAAATATAGTCGTTAAAATCAGCAAGATATTTATTCCACAAGTAGTTCTGTAGTGTAACCCTGGATGTAAAATGGGACCAGGCTAAACACAGCACTCAAGTAAATTCTAAAAAAAAAATCCCTGGATATATGAGCACCAGATGCAGTGTCTCTTCCTGCCCTCTCCCCATATACATAGTTTCAGTGTTTGTTTTGTTGTGCAAGATAATGGTTCTGAAAAAGGTGAATGTTGGAGGCTGTATTAAACTCCACCCAATTTGACACCGTCTTACGCCTTGGACAGAAATAAAACAAAACATCTTCGGATCTTGTTGAGTACGGGCTGACATCCATAGGTCTCCTCAGGCCTAGATACTTGTAAAGTCAACCTGTTCAGAGCTATTCCACATTTTTGGAGTAGGTAAGTCTTGAACCTGAGCCTCCCAACCCAGAAACAGGGACATCACCACTAAGCCACAAGGGCCCTCCCTCCAACTTTGTAACAAAACCTAACATGATGAATACCCAGTTGCTATCATGCAATTGATTACATCGCATTAAGATTGTTCTCTTCAAAGCAGTTGATCCCCCATTGTGAGCTAAACAAGCCTTTAGGCCAAGTCTTAGGAAATAGGAACAGTGGCAACATCCTTTCACCCACAAATACCACTCATTTCAAAAGGGAGTGGCGTCTGTAGTTTGAAGAACCGAGGAAAGCTGTTGCCATGTCGACGAGGAGCAAATCAGCAGATCCTACCTGGGTGTGCTTGGGGTATCCCATTTTTGTAATAAAGTCTTCAGCAGCTTTCAGAGCAGCTTTCCGTTCTTCTGGATTAGCATTCTTACCTTTGAAATAGAAAAAAGGGTTTCTAATTTTCTTTTCTTAAGACCATATGCTTGGCCTTTAGCAATAACTTGACATTAAAAAAAAAAATCAGAATAACACCCGAGGCAGAAAGACTGAAGCATCTGATTAACATGTGATCATGTTAGGTGGTTGTGTGGCTGGACTAATTTAGAACCCCAGGATATTTAAATCAATAAAAAATGGAAATATAAAATGTGGTAGTTATGAATTTGAATTTTTACATCTAGAGCCGGTAAAATGCTCACGTCAGTAAAGTGACCATAATAAACTGCTGTAAAATCCAGTTGGTCATGCAACTCTTTAGGGAAGAGAACCTGCCACCCTTACATATATGAAAAAAAGTAACTCCATACCAAGATGGTCTACTCTTCAGCAAACCAGTAATATTAAGTGGGTATTGACCACTGCAGGTCAAGGCGTCAGCCTGTAACTGCCCTCACAGGGCAGAGAGTTAGACAATAAACAATACAGCACACCAAGATTAACATTGTAACATTAAAAACAAAACAAACTGATCCCTCCTTTCATTCTCCCCCCTTTAAAAACAGTACAGTTAAAACACCAACTCCTTTTAACTTTTCCAGGACAGGTATTTGCTGGACAACTGAAGGATTTCTGATGGTCTCTGGGAGAGCCTCCTCCCACCATATTGCAAAACATGGAAGACACAAGGAGTCTTCAAAGTGTAAGAAGAGAGGATAAAACTTTCACACTAATAATTAGGCACGCGATACACTGCCTGGAAGTGTGGTGGAGCCAAGTTCACTTCAGGCATTGGACAAATATTTAGATAACAAACAAAAAATGTGCAAGGGTATGGAGCAAAACCTGGATAGTGGAAGTAGATAATGAAGCTCATTGAATGAGCTGGTAAAAGCACAATGAGTTGTCCCCCATCCCCCTCCTGGGATTCTGTGAAGATGGGCAGGAGAGGTTGTACTGTACATAACATACAGCAAGAATTATTGATTCAATTAGTGAGCAACTTGACAAGAATAACTTTAAATTTTCATTCCAGGCATACCCCAAGACCTTGCACACACAAAGCTCCTTGAAGTGTCACAAAAATATGACTGGCTCCACAATGAGCAAGCCAACACCCAGGGGGTACTCCCCTAGATTCACTCATGTGACCCTGCTGTGGCAGAAAAGTTCATCATCAATTTCCAAACTTACAACATTCTAATCTCCACTCTCAATCTTAGTCTGACGAGTTGGTCCAAAGAATTTGCTCCCTCCAACCACACGTACACAATTCACTAGGATCAACTCACCGAATGCGTTGGGATGTGATCCAGGAACAGTTTTATTTGCCACTTGGACATCCAAATCAAGAACAGCAAGGAGTGGGCAAGGCAAGTTTCATCTCAAATTGCAAACGTTTGAGCCAAATTTAAAAGAAAACGCACCTCAAAACCTCTTATTAATGGCTCATCAACTGGCCAAACCTTCCTTACCTTTCCACACGAAGATCTGCCCATTGGAACCATTGTCTAGGATGAAGCTATCTTCAGAGTCCAACATGCTCTGCTTGAATGGGTTCTCTGCAGACACCATGTTTAATTGAACTTCACCAGCTGCATCTGAAACCTGGGGAAAAGGTTTTTTTTTTTGTGGGGGGTGGTGAAGAGCAGGGGCAGGGCAGCAGGAAGAAGAACATTTAGTCAGAAAGCCAGCCATGTGTTCCAGCCCATTAGAAACCACTTGAGATATACCTCGCTTGAACCTCCTTGAAATTTTTTGGCATTAAAAAAAGTATAGTTACTCTGAATAAACCTGGGGATCCCCCTCTTCAGGCTTTGAGGTGGCATTTTATTTGGGTAACTTTTCAGGAACTCCTGTGTTCTAAGTGAAGCAACAGCCTGTTTATACAACACAGCCACCTATGCTACCCTAGCGGTAGCTCTGACCTGTATGAGGGCAGGAAACTGCTGAGCTGCAAGCAGACAGACGGAGCTCAAGGTTCCAGCTCCTGCAGACAAAACAATCTGCACCAAGCAGCTAGCTGGCACCCCAGCAGGGATTTATAGATGGGAAGTGACCCAAAAATAAATCACTGCAGTGGCCTAGCCCTGAAGTACCAGAGTGAGGGGGGTAGGGAGGGTGGCAGTGGTGGTGTTTTGGTCTGAATTAAAGTTCCTGATCTGGTCATAAGACGGACAGAGCACACTCCATAGCTAGTTGCTTCCTTATGCTGCTGATTATACTCATAGGCCTGGGAGCAGCCAGATGCTCAGACTGCAAATGAAACAGAAGATTTTACCCACACGCTTCAATTGACATGGGTCAACATTCCCTTCACTATGCAGCACGCTGAACAGAAGAAGCACAGCAGTTCAACTGCAAGACCAAGGTCAGCAGTGAATGACCACCCAGCTATGGGCTTTTGCCTCCAGCAGGCTATTTGCACCCAATGGAACAATATGTATGTTAGCTTCTGGGACAAGAACGAGATGTGGATAACCTATCACTGAAAGATTCAGACATGTTTATACGCACAGGCCACTTCACTGTCTGAGCCAATGCTAAAATACTCATGCCCTGTTAAGGGATGCAAACTAAATGTTCAGATCATGAGCATGTACTTTAAGAAAAGGTATATTGCAAAGTAGCTGTAAGACAAAGTACAATAATCATGCCTCCCGAAGTCCAAAACTGCCATTTAAGTGCACAGCAGAGACACTGTGGACCCAATAGGTGTTTCCCTTGGAACTGACCAATTCTTTTGGCTGAAATTGCCAAGTGGAACAAAACATATACAAATTTAAAAATCCTGAAACACTAACACCATGTGCCAATGAGACTTTGAAGTAATCCTTCCTATCTTAAAGGCCCTGTTTGAGAGGGCTATTCCCTCTCTCTTTTTATTTCAGAGTCCCCTTCCCCATGTCTGAAGGGTCCTGACCCAAAACATCAGCTTTCCTGCTCCTCTGATGCTGCCTGGCCTGCTGTGTTCCTCGTGTTAACAGCATCGGCAGTTCTTACTATCTCTAGGTGTGCTGTTGCAGCTATGTTGCTATCTCTCAGCCTATCATGGGAGGAGTTGGTTCACCCTCCAGTTTCAGTTTAAAAAGTGCAAAGGCAGTCACAGTATCGAGCCTTTATTGAAGCACACGATGGTGTACTGAGGAATCAGGAGATCACTGGTGCACATGACTGAAATCAGGATCAAAAAGTTCTAGTTGCAGCGAAAGAAGCCACCTCCCAGTGTCACGTGCCTGGCTGAAATCTCCAACTCCTTTAAAACCAAAAGCTGAAAATTGGCAAATACTGATGAAAATAAATGTAATGGGAATATTTAATAAATTTAAAAAGAATTCCACAGATGAAGCCGGATTGATGTTACAAAAAAAAAAAAAAAAAGTCCAAACTGCTGCTTTAATAGAACTGTGATGCAACAAATCTGATCGGACATACACTCGTGGGGAGGGTAACTACATATGGCAGGCATAGTGGTAGTGTAACTGGCTGCTCTAACATGGAGATTAAACCTGCTCATACAGAACACGCTTGTATTATGAAGGCATAAGGCTTATTCAGTGGCTTTTCTGGACAAGCGATTGAAATCTCAATTATAAAAGCAGACAAATTGCTGACCTTACTATTTGATCACACACCCAATTGGTTTTAGATCATCTCCAAAACCACTCAATGTTGAAATGCTTAGGGATGTACAAGACCATCTCCATTTGTCCAGTTGACTGTAATCCTATAGCATCAATTCTGGTGATAGTAGATATACCTGTACCAGAGAACACTAACAATGCCTGAGCACCATGTTAGATACCTCCCATCCCAACTGCAAAGCAACAAAGATCAGTGCTGGTAAGGATTTAAATAAAGTCAAAAATCTGCTAAAGAATGTAACAGTCTTGATTAGACTAAAGCTGCTTTTTGACCAATGACTGATCCACAACATTTTCTTGCCTACTTCCCACATCTTGATGGCGTATGATTCCAAAAACCTATCGCAGCCTTACAAATACCATTCTTTCCTTCGAGTTGCTGGGTCAAAATCCTGCAACACTCCCTTAGTGCTGTGGGGGTCCCTACACCATGTGGAATGGAACAGTTCAAGGCAGCAGCTTGATACCACTTTCAAGGGCAACTAGGGATGGGTGGTAGGTACTGATCTAGCAAGTGAGACCTACATCCCTCAAAATGAACATAGCCATAAACTCTAGCGTAGAAAATTGCTAAGATTCACAATGCTTAGACTGAATTAATTTCTCATGTCCTAGGCTCAGCAACCAAGTGAAGCAGCCTCAGTATCACTTATGGTCAAGTCCCTTCAGAATTTTACTTCCACAAGATCATCCCTCATTTTCCTGAGCTCAAGAGGAGCATCAAATTTACACATAGCCCATCATAGGATGGCCCACTAGATCCAGGATCAAATCTGGTGAATCTCCAGGCAGTGTGTCCTTCCTTAAATATGGAGATAAAATGGGACATGGTGTTCCAGGTGTGAACTCACCAAGAAAGCCCTATACAACTGCATCAAGATTTCTTAAACTCCAATTTCCTGGAGACTAGAAAAGGACAACACGCCATTTTGCTTCTGAGGACGAAAAGACAAACAGCTAGGCTGGATTGAACTCTATATGTCATGTTCAATTCCGAATAAACTTGGTTTTGAATGGTTGTAATTTGTACCTTGTACAATTTAGCCAGTTTTCTGTTCGACGCATCAACTTTAATATCGTCGTCACGAGTTCCTTCTGGCAGATCTGGTTTTGGTCCAAGAACCTAAAGATGAAGCAATAAAGTCAGCATCCAGATGCAAAACCCATAAAATAGATATGATAGAATTTAGAACAGTACAGCACAAGAACAGGCCCTTCAGCCCACCACGTCTGTGATGACCATGGTGTCATTTGAAAGTAATCCCATCTGCTTGTACATTGTCTGTATCCCTCTATTCCCCGCTTGTTCATGTATCTGAATGCCACTTAAACTTACTGTTATATTGGCTTCCACCACCTCCCCGGCAGTGCATTCCAGGCATCTACCACCCTCTGTGTAAGACAATTTGCCTTGCACTTCTCCTTTAAACATTCCCCCTCTCACCTTAAACCTATGCCCCCTAGTATTTGACATTTCCAACTTGGGGAAAAAAAGACCCTGACTGTCCAACCCTATCCATGCTTCAAATTTTATACACCTGTCAGATCACCCCTCGGTCTCTAGTGAAAACAATCCAAGTTTGCCCATTGTCTCCTTGTAACTAATACACTCCAATCCAGGCAACATCCTTGTAAACCTCTTTCGCACCATCTCCAAAGCCTTCCTTCCTACAGAGCACGGCAACCAGATCAGCTCACAATATTCACGTGTGGAGTAACCAATGTTTCATACAGCTGCAACATGACTTGCTGACCTTTGTGCTCAATGCCCTGATCGATGAAGGCAAGCACGCTGAATACCTTCTTTAACCACCTTATCCACTTTGTAACCACATTCCTGGGAGCTATGGACTTGCAGCCCAAGACCCCTCTGTATATCAATGTTGCTAGAAGGGAAAAGGGGAAAGAAAGAAGATCTGCAGATGGTGGAATTCAGAGACACAAACAGAAACAAAATTTCTGGAAAAGCTCAACAGGTCTGGCAGCATCCATGAAGAGAAAACCATTGATGTTTCAGGTCCAATGACCCTTCTTCAGAACTGTAGGTGGGCAAAAAGGTGAAGATGGGGTGGGAATATATAATAAGTAGAGATGGACACAAGTGAAAGGCAAACAAGAAAAAAAAAAATGGACAAAGAAATGAGTAAGAAGCCAGCCCGGGTGAATGAATAGTTGCTAAATGTTTCTAAGAGTCCTACCATTAACTGCATTTGTCAACAGATGCTGCTGATATCAGAAAGTCTGCAGTGCTCTCAAAATGTTTCTCACTACCTCTAACACAGTTTGCAAACTGTGCCCAAGATCTCAGCCAGCTCAATTTCTCCTTGACAAGACAATTCTTGGACTTAAAAAGCTATTTTGTTGGCTCACCAGATGGCAGGGATTTACGAAAAGAGCACTAAAAATCAGTCACCAGATTAATAACAATTTTATTGTCCTCAGTTAAAGTAATAGTATTTGACAGGTCCCAACTACAAGACTTCAAAATAAGAGCAGCAGTAGACCATTCAGCTCTGCAAACCTGCTGTGGCTTTCAGTACAATCAACACCGATTATCCAACTCCATATCTGCCTGATCCCACCTTCTCCCCCTATCCTTTGATCCCTTCAGCACTGCATCCAATTCCTTCTTGAAAACAAAAACATTCTACGTTACGGCCTCTACTGCTTTCTGCGGCAGAGAATTCCACAGGCTCACCGCTCTGGGTGAAAATATTTCCCTTTATCCGTCCTAAATGGCAAGTGTAATCCTTACATTGTAATCTTTGGTTCTTTCCTCCCTAGGTTATCAGGAACATCCATCCTGAATTTACCCTGTCTAGCGCTGTTGGAATTTTAAGTTTCTATGAGATTGCCCCTCAAACTCCAGTAAACATAATCTTGAAAAAAAAATTCTTCATACAGCAATCCTGTCACAGCAGATTTTTATTCAAAAATTCACTTTTTCTAACAGTTAGTGTGGGACATCACTGATCTCCCCAGCCTCACCTCAATCAACCTTTCAGGCTCCATTCCTTCCTCCATCACACGCAGTTTGGCACGGCCACTTCTCTCATTGTCACGGATACCTTTAGCGATGTATGTGGCCTTTAGCCTTTCAAATCTGTTGGATTTTGAACCACACCACTGAAAAATTTCCTGGGGGGAAAAAAAAAAGACAGATCATGGGAGAAGTGATAGTGTAGAATCACACAAACTGTTGTGATTTCACCAACTGAGAAATATAATTGCTCCATTACATCTTCTGTTCAAGGCAGGGCAAACAGACCTTCCTTTGGAGACATTATCACCTTATTGTCAGGTTAGAGCCCAAGCTCTTTGTTTGCAGTTTGCTGGCAGTTAAACATAAATGACAGCAAGCAGATTTCAAGCCCATGGTCTGTTTAGAGACAAACAGAAATGGTATTCATAACAGCATGTCAGGGAAGGCAAAAGCTAGAAATCTGTCCCCAACTGAATTTCTCCCATTATAGGATCAGTTTTATTTTGAGCAGCCTCAAGCGAATGTTTCCTCGGTTGGACTTGGCACATTATTCCAAACAAAGGAGGTTCCTCCTCGTTTCGTTTCTAATAATCACTCCTCACCTCTCTGTAGCTCAACATGGAAGCTGTAGCTCCAAGATGCTTAGAAACAGCTTTCACTGGGAACTGGTTCACAGTGGATTCATAAAAAAGTCGCAGAACCAAAGCCGAGCTTTTTGTGGTGAGGACTCAGATCAGCAAGATTTCAGATTTACTCCATGACTTCCACTGCTGAGAGGGGCATAGAGACACAGCCACAACACAATGGTCAAAACATTCAAGGGAAAACAAATGGCACTTTGGTCAAGATGCTGGAAGATTGAGCATACAGGCTGGTGTTAATACTGTACTGGCAAAAGGGCTTTTGGAGGCGGGGGGAGGTGGTGTTTAATGCCAACTCCAACAATGTGATAACACACTGACATGGATATGGATAAATCATCTTGAGATCCGAGTGCCGGCCTGTGTCCATTTACCATCCTAGTAAGAAGGGTTTAAGTAGCTAATGTAACTTGTAGTTCTATTACACAGTGGCAATTAATACACCACACAAAGTCTCTTCATATGAAGACTCACTTGAGATTGTTCCTTTACACACTAAACAAAGTAGATTTGGCTGAGTTATGGCTAACCAAAGCTGTTAAGACATAGGAGACAAAAAAAAAAACAAAAAACAAAAAACAAAAAAAAAAAAAAAAAAAGGGTGTTTGGTAACAGTTCAGCCATGACCTTATTGAATGATAAGCAGGCTTAAGTGGCTGAATGGCCTCTTCCTAGGTCTGGGTAGCTGTCATTCTTCCCATCCAAACAAGCATCAGGCAATGAATTAAGGCAGCAACGTACTTGGTCCAAATCAGTTTCTTGACAGTGCGCCAGGTTAAAAATAATGCTTATTGCTTTTCATTTACTCCTTTTTTCTGCTTTTAAAGGAAGCTACTAACTGTCCTTGATCAATTTTCTCATGGTGAAAAACAAATCTCAAAGCAAAGATGGAATGGTCATCTCCAAGCATGAATCAAACAGACCTCTTGAAATGAATAAATAAATACATACATACCGACAGACCCTAACTCGTTAATTGTAATTGTTTACTTCAGAACATTATGCTAATCAAAATCATCCCTATGTCTAAAATACAACACAAAAGTAATACAACCCAGTACAGTGACAACAGCTGTTGGGGTTGGACTAGGCAACGAAACAAAGCAATGTTTTTAAAAAAAACTGGAACTTTGAAAAATAGCAAATAGAGAAACAATTCCAACATGCCACTTGGCCCAGGAGTCAATGCAGGGAAGAAAGCCTGTCCAAGGGGAAATGGAAAAATAATGTATAAAATTTAAAAGTTTGGAGTGAGGAGTCTTGTTCAAATGAAGTGGAAGCAAAATGGAGGCTGAATTAGTGACCCTTGATCTGGTTCATTGGTGAAACCTCTAAATTCCACCACAGCTTTGTACCACCTATCACAAAAGTATATTATTAAATAAAGACTCAAAACACTTAGTGTGCCCATCTTCACATAATATTGAAGATCTTGTCCCTTTAACAGCTTTTGATCAATGAAGGATTTTTCTTGTGACCAACAAGAGGAATGGGACTAGAACCTGTTATGTTTTCTTGCTACTCCACTAGAGCTTACCCAATAATGCAAGAATTCAATTCACTTAGAAAGAAGTTAGGTTAGCAGCTTAGACTAGAATATGGAGTTACAGATAACCACATATGCAACCTCTTCTGGCTGGTCTGCACATGCAGTTGGTCATGCGGTTTACAGCCTGGTCCTTGGAACACAAAAAAATCAGTAACAGACGACTTAATACTCCCTACTGAGCTATTTGTACTCCTTTCGAAAAAAAAAGCCAACAATCCATCAATCAATCAGGAAATGGGGAGGAATGCAGTCAGGATTAAAAAGGTGGCCTAGGGATAAATCAGTGCATTTCACATCCATCACCAGTGATCCATGACTATGGGCTAGACCATCATGGGATTTTCACACCTACCCACCTGACCTGTTTAATGTCCCATTCAAAATATTGCAACGCCTGACCTCGCAGCATGGGAGCTGTGAGTTGGATTTTGCAATCATGCTAGAGTGGGATTTGAACCCAAAACCATGCAACTCTCAAGCAAGAGCTACCAATGTCACAAGTGTGGGATTAAACAGCAACTGTTAAAAGGCATTAATGTTCTGCCACTAGTAACCCTAGGGGACATTTTCAAACCAAGCTCAGGTGATCTCAGTCAACGTGATTGACTACTTCCAGGATTCTGGTGGAAATACTTACTGCAACTCAAACATTAACCTATTGACAAAGGGACCCCCAAGGCTGCACCACAGCTTGGGTGGTTACAAGTCAGCGTCACAGACTAAAAACAGGGGCAGCATAGATTACAGAATTAGATTTACACAGAACTTGGCTTTAAGAATTCAAGTCACAATAGACAAAGAGGAGGCCCCACCCCAAATGAGCTTGAACAGTTTGCTCACAATGAAATACTCATTTTGGCTACACACCATACACCCGTTCTACAAACCTCTTCCTTTGTGTTCAAGTTTCAGTGCATGACTCCAAATAATTAAAAAGATAAATTATGACATATTCAATGCATATTAAATTCTAATGAGTATCCACTACAGAGCAGAATCTTTTACCAAAGAACTTTGGATCCATAAGTTTAGTATTTGCATGTTTGGTAGCAAGTACAGGAATGCATATAATTACCCTGCATGTTAACAGATTGAGAAAATGGGGTGGTGCATCAAGACCTGGGTATCCTGTACACGAGTCACCAAAAGCAAGCAAGCAGGTGCTGAAGCTGGCAAATAGTACGTTGGCTTTCGTAGCAAGAGGATTCAAAAGTACAGGAGCAGGGATGTGCTGCTGCAATTGTACAGGATCTTGACGAGACCACACCTGGAATGTAGTTTTTGTCTCTATGGGGAAAAAAATATTCTGGCTAAGGAGGGAGTGCAAAAAAAAAGATTTACTAAACTGATTACTGGGATTACTGGGATATTTGTTATGACTATATTCACGAGAGTTTAGATGAATGGGGGTTGGGGTGTAGCAATCTCAAATATAAAATCTTAAAGCAGGACTACGTGGGGTACACAGGAAGGTTGTTTGATGACCAGAGAGTCCAGAACGAGGGATAGGCTATTTAAGAGGAGAAGAAATTTCTTCATCCAGAGAGTGGCGAGCCTGTGGAATTCCCTGTCGCAACATGGTTGAGGCCAAAACATTCAATGATCTCAAGGAGTTACACTGTTCTTAGTGCTAAACGGACCAAAAAAAAAAGGTATGGGGAGAAAGCAGGAACAGGGAACTCAGTTGGATGATCAGCCAGGATCATATTGAATAATGGATCAGGCTTGAAGGGCTGAATGGCCTACTCCTACTTGCTTCAATTTTGAAGAAGAAAGTGAAGGTAATGTCAATGTTCTGGCCAAAAGGGCCAGTCCAGGTTTAATTCCATTACTGGCACATGCTCAGGCAAGAGAGAATATTCTACGTAGAAGATGGGATTGTGAACAAAGATTGAAAAGCTACAGAGGAAAAACCCCGATCCCATGTGGCCAGTGGTTCAACATGGAAATGCAGTCCCCTCCCTGCACAGCATTCAATGTACATCCAAAACAAATGAGCAGATGCTTTTAAGCCAACACTTGTACACCATAATACTTCAATGGTTGTCTGTCACATTTCACAGTGTTTTTTTTTAAACCTTAAGTAAATATCTAATGTCTGGCTTACTAACAACCCTAAGCTGGTGCCTTACGAAACCTTTTAAGAACAGTCCAGGACTCACTGTGCCCAGGTCAACGATGAAACAGTCTCCTTTGTTGAAGCTGTCCCAGGTCAGAGGAACCTCCAATGCTCGCACCGTTCTGCGGCCCTTCACATGGAGCAGACGTTGTACTGTTACTTCATTGGGCACTACATGGGAGAAACCTGATGCTACCCCTCCAGCCTGCAGCAGAAAGTTTTACAAAACAAACAAGCAGACTGTCAGCTTGCACAGAAGTAACACTGAAAGCATTCAAAGTTATTTATTTTAACACGTAAACCCATGAGCCTCAAATTATTTGTGAGCACCAGACTCGGGTCTTGGAAGATGGAAGATTCCAAAATCGGTGGGTGGCAAACTCCCATATCTTCAAGTGCTGAATCAACTTGTCCAGTGGGGTGCACAAGAGTCTACAGTATGGGGGCGGGGTGGATAGCGAGGAAAACAACATCCTTTGGCCAATTGAGACTGTTTGCAATCAGCGTAATCAATTATTCTAAGCCCATTTCCCAGCATTCAGCCTATAGCCTTTATGCCTCAAAATCGCAAGTGAACATCTGAATACTTAAAATGTTGAGGATTTCTGCCTGTACCATCTTTACAGGAGAGTGTGCCAGATTCCCACCACCCTCTGGGTGAAAACAAACTTATTTTCCCATCTCACATCCCCTCCAAGTCTCCCTCTCTTTAGCCCAAATCTACATCCCTGCTCAATTATCCTTCCACCGAGGGGAAATTCCTTCCTGCCCTTTGCCCCACACAAGAGGTGAAATGATCTCTCTAAAGAGGGAGACAGTAGAGTCTCAGTGCAAAATGTTTCTCCATCCATATGGCACGATGTTGGGACTGTGGTTGGTGTTGAACCTCTTCCCCAAGATGGTGACATCAGAGAAGTAGTTTACAGTGGACATGGTACAAAGCCACAAGCTAAGTTTTTTGAGTAGATTTGTAGCTCGGGTTGTGGATGTTGTAGTTGGTTGGCTCGCCGAGCTGGTTTGTTGTTCCAAAGACGTTTCGTTACCCTGCTGGGTAACATCATCAGTGCAGCCACCGATGAAATGCTGTGGTTTTCCTGCCTGCTATTTAAAAGCCACAAGCTGTTGCTCAAGCTCTGAACACAAATCAAATTCCTGATCCACATTTTCTCAAACACTCCAGAAACCATTTTAACATTTGTTCCACACTAAAAAAGGATGCCTCAGTCAAGTACCTCATCTATTTCTAACTGTCAGCTCAGATCACATATTTGTCTTCCTGACCTCTCAATATCACCTCCCCGCCACCCCACAAACAAGGGACTATCACTACAGTCACAGATAGTACACTCCTGAGTAGCTTTCAAATCACAAATCCAATTGCTTAGATGTAGAGCAGACAGTGGCCTGTACGGCAGCAACGAATAACTTTCAACATCAAGTGCCCCAGCTGGGAAATCTCACCCTACACCAATGTACTCTAACACTTGGCGCACACTTGTGCTGAACAGTATTAGGTATTTATACTGATTCCGCTGACTCTCTCAGGCTTAATGTTGCTTTTGGCACTACACAAACTTTCTACTTTTCAAGATTTTCAAACAGTTTCACAAATTTTTCACTTTTATAAACTGTTCAGGACAAGTAATGATCAACAGTTTCAGAAATGCATCTTTTGTTAAGACACCATTTAAGACATTGCATTGATTCAAGGAATTAAGTACCACGGCCAAAAGGGGAAAAAAAAACAAACATAGGACTCATTCACTGCAAAGTGTTGAATCAAGTTCCTGTCTCAGATTACTGAGAGATTTTTGTTTTTTTTAAACCTTGTATTTGATGCCAGACTTGAAGTTGCCCAGAAAGATGTTGGACTCATGGCCCTGCACCTCTCTGTACTGGACAGGTTTGCCGTCGAGATAATCATCCAACTGCACAGTGAAGATGGCAGCAGCTCCTTTTTCATCTTGGGAACACGAATCCCCTGTGCAGCAAGAGAAACACAATTTGTCAGACTATCCCTCGTAGCAAGGAAAACTGGAGCAATTTTCCTACTTTTGCCAAACACACAATGAGAATCAACAAACCGCATGCCTTCAGGACTCATTGTTCAAATATTACTGAGATTGCAACTCTGAACATGGGCGAATAGCTAATGGCGGACAGATGGACCGTAATCAACGAGCCAATTAAAACTTTTCTTACAAACAAAATACTGAGTTATTGCAAGCAATGAGAGATTTGGATGTACTGCCTGAACAACTGGTAGAAGCACATTGTAAAGCAACTGGATATGCTTTCCTTTCAGGGAATGTTTGCATGGGTCTGCAGAAGGAGAAACAAAGTCAGACTAGATAGACTGCAATTGCAAAGAACCGGCAGGTGCTTTTTTTTTGGTGGGGAGGGGGTGCAGTGTTGAGCGGTAGTGGTGGACGACAACAGTGGAATGTGAAAACAGCCTTGTTACCATATAGTGCTATAATTCTAAACGCTTGGACATTGTCAATTGTTTTTGCAATTGTTGGATTATCTCAAAAAAAAAAAAGCTGAAAAACAGGCAAGTGTGGAATATTACCAAAAGAATTGAACAACCACAAAACAAAGAAGCTGGATGTAGCTAAGAAAAACTATGACCCATAAAAGGCAACACAGGTACACAGCTACCAAATAGGGAGCTATGAATAATTTTTAAAAATTGAGAGAGGCATGTTAAGAATGCATCAAGTAAGATGTTAGGAATGAAATTGGCATGGTTAAAGGAAATTAAAATACACAAACTGCATTTAAAGAAGAGATGGAGATGGAATAATTGCTGGAGGCATTGGTTTAATCAGGTTTCTCACCACAGAAAAAATGTGGATCCAAATTACAAAATATAAAGCAGCTACTGGGGTGGGGTGTGGGGTGGGGCATGGGTGGAGAGAGGCAGAAGTTCAAAAAGAGGATCACTGGACTCATAATACTAACTCTGCTTCCTCTCCACAGATACCATCAGACCTGCTGAGTTTCTCCAACAATTTCTGTTCTGCAAACTACATTTAAGATTACAATCACCTTACACCTACATCAAAAGAACACTATCCCCACTTCAAGTAAACCCCAGAGATACATGTACACTGTAGGGTAGAGTGAGAAATAGTAGGGGATAGTGAGGAATAAAGCCTGAAATAATTTGGAGAGCCATTACTTGGATCATTCTGCCGAGTGTGGGCTGTCAAAGGGAAATGCAAGGTTTTGTACACCTGGCCCTCAGAAGTCAAAGGCCTAAGTCACTAAACATTGACACACGAAAGCCCAAGTCACTAAACAGTCTCAATTCCAAGTATAGCTGCAGTTTACCTGAAACTAGGGGAACGAAGATGTTGGTGTGTTCACCGGGCTGGGAAGTTTGATAGCAGATGTTTCATCCCCTTACTAGGTGACATCCTCTGTGCTGTGGAGCCTCCTGCGAAGCGCTGTTTTCTTGTGCCGGTTCGAATTTAAATGGACTGGTTTTTGCTGTTTCCGGTAGGTGCCGGTCCCAGCTGTGCATTCTAATCGTTGGTATATTGGGTCTAATGCAATGTGTTTGTTGATGGAGTCCAAGGATGAATGCTAAGCCTCCAAGAATTCCCCTGGCTGTCCTGTTTGGCTTGTCCCATTACAGCAGTGTTGAAAAAGTGTGGTTTTTCTCATCTGTGTGTATTGAAACCAAGGGCATCTGGTCATGTCGTTTCGTTGCTAGCTGGCGTTCGTAAATGCAGGTTGCTAGTTGTCTGCCTGTTTGTCCCATGTAGTTTTTTGTGCCATCTCCGTATGGTATCTTATAAACTACATTCATCCTGTACATGGTATCTATCGGGTCTTTAACCCTGGTCAGTTACTGTCTTAGTGCAGCTGCTGTGGTTGTAATCCAGTCCTTTTGATGAGTACTGTTTTTCCTGCATCTGTGGAAAGGTTTCTTATCCATTTGTCAGTCTTGTCGTCTCCTCGGTCATTGGTCAATTTGGTCTTTTTTCCCCTGTAGTGCTGGGTTTTGTACGTGTGGGATTCTTGCAGCAACACACTAAGACAGCAACTGACCAGAGTTAAAGACCGAATAGATACCATGGACAGGACGAATGTGGTTTACAAGATAGCAAGAGGAGACTGCACAAACAGGCAAACTAGCAACTAGTCATGCGTTTGTTCCTTTTGGCTGAGGTACTTAATTACTAGACAAACTAGCAACCCACATCCATGAACACCAGCTAGCAACTAAACGACATGACCAGATGCCCTCGGTTTCAATACACACAGATGAGAAAAACCACACTTTTTCAACACTGCTGTAATGGGACAAGCCAAACAGGACAGCCAGGGGAATTCTTGGAGGCTTAGCATTCATCCGTGGACTCCATCAACAAACACATTGAATTAGACCCAATATACCAACGATTAGAATGCACAGCTGGGACCGGCACCTACCGGAAACAGCAAAAACCAGACGATGCAAATTCGAACTGGCACAAGACAACAGCGCTTCACAGGAGGCTCCACAGCACTGAGGAGGTCATCTAGTAAGGGGACAAAATGTCTGCTATCAAACCTCCCCCAGCTTGGCTAACACACCAACATCGACAACCAGCACCCGAGCTACAAATTTCACTCAAATCCTGAGCTAGGGGGAATGAAAGTGGAAGATTAGTCAAGCCCTCAAAGGACCAGGAGTGGCCGGGGGTCGGTGGAGGGGGGGGGAAGCTTGCCAGCTGTCATGTATTTGAAGCTTTCCACATGGAGAGTTTGGCATTCATGTCTGTGACTTTACACTCATCGATACAATGACCTTGAAATCCCATTTGAAAAGCACCAAAACCAAAGAAGATTCTGTTAGGAATACAGAGGATTTGATGATATCTGGAAGGCAGTGTGGGACTCTTGCTGTTCAGAAGCTTGTTCTAGGCAAAATCGGGGTTAACAAAAAAAAAAAAAAGTGCTCAGCACACGTACATAACCAGCACAATTCCTCACACGACGATTAGAAAAAAAAATCAGGAGAACATCAAATCCTGTATCACTGTACAAGCCAAAAAGGTTTCCCTTCATTAGGAACACAAGGGGTCATCGAGATCTGCAAGATACTAAAAAGGAGATACCAAACTAGATGTAGAAAGGATATGGTCTCCTCTGGGGCAATCCAGAAGGAGGGGTCCGTTTTAGGATAAAGGGTAGCAGATTTAAAACAAAGGGAAATTATATCAAAGGGTCACGAATCTGTGGAATTCACTACCCTAGAATATATGGACAAGACGTGGTTTAAAGAGGAGATGCAGAAGTTTAAAATATTAGACAGTTTGAAGGGTTGTGGGGAATGGGCAGGAAGGTAGAGTTGAGGCTGAGAAAATCAACCATGATCAGATTAAGTGGTGGAGCAGGCTCGAGGGCTGAATGACCTAATCCTGCCCTTAGTTCTTATATTGTTATCTATGGGTCTCAGGTTCCTCCATTATGTAGAAATATTTTTTAAAAGCCAAAAAAAAAAAAATCAGTTGTTCAAAGTCCAGCCAACTCACTGGTGTCTGTCAAGCTGTACCTCATTGATGCTGAAATACCTGTGACATTCTAGTACAGCATGGTGGGAACTTTCACTACCATAAGTAGTGCATCTAGCTAACTGCTCAAAGTGAAAAAAAAAAGGTACAGCTTATAGGCAAAAGCATTGAAAAACACCAAATCAGCTTTCGGTTGGGGGGTGTGGTGGAGACTATTTCAGGTGGGACCTTGCCTCAAGTTTTAGAAGAGGCAGATGGGCTAGGAACACCCACGTGTTGACTGGTCTTCTGTTCATTTCCAGAATATTGCTCCAAATCCAATAGGCAATGGCCTTTGGAGGGCAAAGGTCAAGAAGCTACATTTCGCTCTGGAACAGAACACATTGCAATTCAGCGCGAGTCCCCTCCTCTGGTGTCAGAGGAGTCTGGAGCCTTGCAGATATTTCTGTACAGTAAATCAGGTTTCTGAAAGCTGCACACACAGGAAATTATTAACATGTTGATATTTGATGCATTACACAAGGAAAAAAAGAGAAGTTATGAATGGTTTTAAAATCAGAATTTAATGCAAGACATGAACCTGGTGGGAAAGGACTTGGCCTATAAATTACTAGCAATTCAAATGGACCAAGCATCAGAATTTACTTCAGATGAGACTTTACAAAATTCTGCAACCGACTGAAGTCTTAGCAGCCATGGAGAATTGGACACTTGCAAATCAGCTGCGTTTGGCACCACTGAATGGCATTGCTGACGCCTGAAGTGTTGACTGTAATAAATATAGCAACAGAACATGAACACAAAGCCTTTTAAAAAAAAAAAAATTACTCACCCAGCCAGAAATGCAGATCATACTGCAAGTTTCCTGATCGCTGTTTAATGGTGCGCATTACAAGATACGCATCTCCAGTGAAGAAATCTCCATAGAGGTTTTTGGGCACAGCGACTAGATCCAACTTCTCCACTCTCCAGATCTGCAGGCCAGGCTCTTTACCAGCATTTTCAAATTCAGGATGGTAAACCATTGTGGGACCTCAAAAAAAGAGAGAAACAAAGGCTTCAGCCAACACTGAAAAAAATTCTATCCTCTTTAAAAAAAAAAAAAAAAAAAAAAACCAACTTTTAAAAACCCAACAGCTTTAAAAAAAAAGTTAAACCAAGTCAAAACTCTGGGCCAAAGTTTCTTATTCCAGGCCCCCTCTTACTATCAGGGCAGTCCCTGTGGGCAGGAAGAAAAGATTCTCAATACCAAGTAATTTTTAAGATACAAGTTCTCAAAGCGGCCACTGCTCACTGGCTCACATGTTGTGTCTAATCCCATTCTTGAGAAGACAGCAAGGAACCCTTACCTTGGGCCACTGCAGTCTGTGCACTGATGAGTGATAGAGAAAAATCAAATCAAAGGTACATCTGGTACCTGTAAAATATGGTTCACAACTGAGTTTCTCTTTTTGCCTCAAGACCATACTAATGGTCACAATATAAACATCTCAAAAACATCAGCACTGCCGGTTGAGAGAAAAAGCTTTGCAGAATTTAAAGAAATCTGGACAAAAATCCATGCTGTACTTGGTTCCTTTTGATCAGAACACGTTCTGATCAAGTTTTCGTTGCCCAAAAAGATATTTCAGGCATTTAAACAGACAAGGAGGGGGGTGGGGGTGCGCAGTAAGTGATATTAAAATGCAACACCTTTAAAACGTTCATGCCAGGGTGTTCGGTAGACAAGTCTGGCCTGCTGTATCAGGGTTTCAAACTAGCACACAGACAACAGGATAAAATCTTGTTGAAACATTCCAGGCACCCTTGTATTTGACAAGTCTCTGGCTCGAGTGATGCCTTTTGCACTGGACTCCAGCTGCAAGGCTTGAAGGATGAAGCATGGACTGGAATAGCGCACACTTATGGACAAAGACAAGTGAACTTCCCTGGATATGTACCCTATGTAATAGCACAGTGCAAGATGTAGACTCTGGAAGGTGGGAGAGTAGGGTAAATTGAAACCTTTGTCCAACTTATCACTCATCTGTTTTTACATTATTGTGCTGTGTTAACTTCCATTAATGGTTATACATATTTTGATTATGCAGGTGATTAACAACATACTTGAACTCTTACTGATTTTTCATTAGTACCATTTTTGGTTGGAGCCGAGACCTGTAAGCTGAAGTGGACTTTTGGATTGTGGGCAACAGCTGGTTTGTTGAAAAAAAGAACAAGTAAGCTGGTGTTTGAGGGGCCAGGCCTGAAGGTTAACTGCAGGTTAGTTCTCATTACGAAGGGCTCTACAGACATGTAGATTCTAGGGTGGCAGGTAGCAGACTTCTAGCCATTAACAAGGTCAGTACTTGCATATTGGTTCCAGCAAGTTGCGGAGAGACATTATGCACAGTATGTGGGCACCTATGGCCAGGCCAAGATTTATTGCCAATCCTTCACTGCCCAGAAGACAGTTAAAAACCAAACACATTGCAGTTGGTGCAGAGTCACCCATAGGCCAGACTAGGTAAGGATGTTAGACTTTCTTCCCTAAATAAAAGGGACATCGGTGAACCAGATAATCTGGAATAATCACTGGTTGTAACTAAACCCATTTCATTCAAAGTTTCACCATCTGCCATGGTGGGATTCGAACCCACATTCCAAGAGCATGACCCTGGGGTTCTGGATTGCAAGGCCCATGACATTGCCGCCATGCCACTACCTCCCTTAGAATGTCTTTCACATCCATAGGAAAACGTCTCAAGCACTTTTACACCCAATTGAACATTCCAAGGGTGGTTCCTGTCAGAGTACAAGACATCTGGCAACCAATCCATACACAGGAAGCTCCTACAAGCAGAAATGATACTGAGCTTGTCCTGGTCCACATCCAAACCTCAACAGGGATAATGTCTTCAAAATATGGGACCTTATACATCAACCAACAGGGGAGATAGAGCTGCTGATAAAATAGTACAATAATCCACTGGTTTTTAAAAACTTAAGATTGCTGTATAAATAAGGTAATACTAGTTCTAAAAAGAAGTTAATTTTAACATTCTATTGATATTAGTCAATAGGGCTGCATGGTGGCACTGGTGCTTCACAGGACCAGGGACATGGGCTCCATTCCAGTCAGCAGTGGGAGGGGGGGGGGGGGGGGGGGGGGGAGAGTGGTTGCACATGTGCTGTTTCCCTCCCACAGTCCAAGGATGTGCAGGATAAAGGTGAATTGGCCATGGTAGTTGCAGGGATAGGATAAGGGCTGAGTTTGGGTGGAATGCTCAGAAGTTCAGTGCAGACTTGATGGGCTGAACTACGTCTTTCTGCCCTGTAGGGATTTTACGATTCTAGTCTTGCGAGTGGAGACAAGGAGCTCTGCTCTAGCTTCGAGGAAGATGTATCCGTACCAGCTCCAAAGAAAAAAAACAACACCCAGTAATTACTCCTGACCAGTGTAGCTTTACTTATTGCTACCATGCAATAAAGTGTCTTTGTTACCCAAGAACAGTGCCTCAATTGTCAGTGCTCAATGGTGATGGATCATCTACCATTAACTTCATTAGATAGGCCCAAGACAAAAGCTCAGACAAAGAAGCCCTCTCAAAACAACTCCCAGCATGTGACACTAGGTAAGACGTAACAAATATTTCAAAAAGGTACTAGGAATCGTCAGCTGGGAAAATAATCAAAGCTTTTGAAGTGAAGCCTGAACCCACTGCTTCGTCTCAGGGCCGAGGATAAGTGATTGAAACTATAGCTGGCACATTAACACAAGCTGTTTCCACCCTCTTACTGGCAGACAGCCTGACAAGTACTTATTTATACAAACAAGAAAAAGTCTAATATTTTTGAAAAAGATGGGCTCTTTTATACAGCAGTGAATATGCAATTAAACCTCTATTCAGATAGAATATGAAAGTCTCCAGTCAAGGAGAAGAGTGGTCACGAAGCCCAAATCCCTATCAGAGTGCAAGGAGAGAAAGCCCAAATGAAACTTCATTCTCTATTTTTGGAATTAAATTAGATTTCTTTTTCTAAAAGAAATAAGAAAAAAAAAGGAAATTCACTGGATTTAAAAACAGCCAAGGCTAATCACAATCCTATTTCAAGCAGCTTCTAAACCCTCTGACATTGCCAAATCTTTCCAGCTATAAAAAGGCTTGGACGTGAGCTGCCTGCCTCCTGCCAGCTCTGGACAAAAAAAAAAAGAAAAATATCAGTGTTCCTTTATGCTAAAACAAAGAGAGTATTAATGCTGTTTCAGAGATGGTAGGAACTGCAGATGCTGGTGAATCTGAGATAACAAGGTGTAGAGCTGGATGAACACAGCGATTTGGGTCTCGGCCTGAAACGTCAGCTTTCCTGCTTGGCCTGCTGTGTTCATCCAGCTCTACACCTTGTTATCTCAGACTATTAACGCTTTTGCTCTGTCACCACAATGCCTGCTCCATCATCTACAAAGCTACACAGTTTGTTTAACATTCCTATGAACCAAACCGAAATGGATCCTCAGCACATGAAATGACAGAGTCCAAGTCAATTACTGTTTGACCTCCAGAAGGGAAGCACAATTCCAGGCTGGATTGTTCAACCCTCCACTTCTATCTAGAAGCTCACTGGAAGGTAGCCTATATTTAGGCTTCAAGGAGGAATAATACTAGACCCAGCTCACTGGAAATTAGTTGAGCAGTAACATCCAGATAGTTGCAAATCAAGCTGATATTTAATATCTTGGGTTACAAGTTTAAGACAAATCCAAATTACCCCATCTGGTTTCTTTAACAGTGCACATGTGCTTTGTGTTCTGAAGCTTGCTAATAAACTCCATTTTGGATTTCACCTTAAAAAGTGCCTGAAATTCGAGCAGCCTTTTCAACAAAGAATGGGATTTAAAAGAGGAAAATAATATATTGCTGTCTTGGGTTTGAGGGAGGGGAAAGGAATCAATTAAAATTCCTCTTACTCCTCCATTTGAATGAGACTTTAAACTGGAAACATATTTAACAGATTGGGGTTGAAATTGTTAATGTGCTTCAGGAGGAGGGAGCGAATGAAACACTGTACGTCTGCCTTTCTGCAATCACCCCTAAGGCATCACTTCTACAACGATCTCAATACACTGAATACAAATTGACCATTTCCACATGAGGAAAGAAAGGTCAATCTGGGCAAGACTTCTAAATTACAAGAAATCTAGTCAGTCACTCATGTATTATGGATCAACAGCTGTATTTGGATAACAAAAAAGGGGTTTTGGCTATGCTTGAATATGGGAAGTCGACTGGGGATAATATTAGAGACAGTCTATATGAGGAGAGTCAAAAATTACAATTACTACCCAAACCTACCGTTAGTTATTGGACTTCCTTATCAGATGAAAAAGGACTAACCAACATAAAGCTCTACTGCATGGAGGTTCTTCAAGCGTCTAAAGTAGAATTTTTTAGTGATTAATGTGGGCAGAAATTGCTCAGGAGAAAGACTCAATTGAATTTTTGAAATCATTACAAAAGGAGACTTCAAGTTCCTACGTGCCACATTCCTTTGAAATTGCTGGTTGCTTCCAATCTAATTTCTAGTCAGTTTGCAACACAGACAGTACGGAGGCAGTAGGTGGAGGTGTCTCACTTTGAGACTGAAGTTCAGAACAGTGTACAGCATCTTGGAGGTTGATCTTCCTACACCTTTCGGATCCCTGGGGCATGGGCTGATCAGAGTTAGGGACCAATGAACTGCTCAACTCCAAAACAACTTCTGCTTTCAAAAGGGCAGGACTTCAATGGCAAAACCTGGAGCAACAGTTTAATGTCCAATTTAGCACCATAAATGCAGAAAGGAAATAAAGAGACAAATAATTGGCTGCAACAAATGGATTGCCCCAATTAAAACAAATTCCTTCTCAAGTGGACTCTGTGGGGTAGAGTGAAGAGACTTTAGGACAAAAACATACCACTCAATGCCAATCTACATTCAGCTGTGGTGGGGATGGGAAGGGGGTCAGGGTACAAGGTAGGAGAGAAAACAGTCAATTATTCATCAACACCTCCC